AAGATCGTTACAACAATATTCCATTGGAAAGATCTCCACTTGGAAAGATCATCACAATAATCTATATCCTTGAAAAGATCGTCACAATAATCTCTGCCCTTGAAAAGATCATCAAAAATAATCTCTCCACTTGGAAAGATCGTCACAATAATCTCTATCCTTGAAAAGATCGTCATAATAATCTCTGCTCTTGAAAAGATCATCAAAAATAATCTCTCCCCCTGGAGAGATCGTCACAATAATCTCCTCTATCCTTGAAAAGATCGTCATAATAATCTCTATCCTTGAAAAGATCGTCACAATAATCTCTAGCCTTGAAAATATCGTCACAATAATCTCTCCCCTTGGAAAGGTCGTCAAAAATAATCTCTCCTTTTGGAAAGATCCTCATTATAATCTCGCCTCTGGAAAGATCGTCACAGTAATCTCTCCCCCTGGAAAGATCGTCACAATAATTTTGTCCCTGGAAAGATAGTCAAAATAATCTCTGTCCTAGGAAAGATCGTCAAAAATAATCTTTCCCTCGAAAATATCGTCAAAAATAATCTCTCTCCTTGGAAATATCGACAAAAACTTTCTCTCCCCTTGAAAAAATCGTCGCGAAATAATCTCTCTCCTCGGAAATATCGTCACGATAATATCATCCTAGATATATCGTAACAACTTAATGCTTTGTGAGCTTACAAGCATTAAGCCCCTGGAAATATACCATTACTAGGCAGGGCGCTTCGCGTCCATCTTAATATTTTCAATTGTGAACATTTTCTCTTTGAATACATTGTAAAACAAAAAGAAAAAGGTTCGTGTATTTCATAAAAAATTTCATGGATTTTCTGAATTTTCAAAAATTTAATGAAATTCGAATTTTGAAAGAGGCAAATTTTGAAAATGTAATCATCCATAAACCTTCCCTGGGGTCACGTAGGTCGCCAAAAAGTTAGGGCCCGATCGGTTCAGCCGTTTTGACGTTTATTGGACAAAGTCACACGATCAAACAATACAAGCAAAGTGCACAGATGAAGAGGATGAGGAGCTGGGGGAAGAAGAAGGATGGGGGAGGGAGGGATGAAAGGGGATCAGGGTAGGTCGAAGGCAAAAGGGATGGAGAATGGGGAAGTGGCCGGGAAGATGGAAGAGAGAAAGAGAATGGGGGAAGGGGGTCTAGAAGATAGTAAGAAGAAGGAGAATGGGGAAAGGGGACTGGGAAGATGGTAGAGAGAAGGTGAAAGGGGGAGGGGAGAAGAATTTTGGAAGGATGTAGTTGGAATGGCCTGGGTCGAGAGGGGGGGGCGGGTATAAGGGTTTGTTCATTTACGTTTGTTCAAGAGAAAGTACATATTTTAGTACACAAAAAGATTTGTTGGTTTAATAATTACTTGTCTAGTAAACTAAACTTTAAAGGGACTGTCAACGTAATATTAATATTGTTGGTTTAATAATTACTGGTCTAGTAAACTAAACTTTAAAGGGACTGTCAACGTAATATTAAGTGACGCAATGTCAAAAGTTACCTGCCCGATTCACAGTACGGTCACCTTTAAACGTCTCGGCAAACTTTAGGAAAATATCCTTGTTTTTCTATCTTAGTGCCACAGATCTGTTAATTCGAAGGCCGTCACCAGAAAAAACGTCTACTGCTAACAGTCCCTTTAATGTTTACTTCTTTCCTAACAGCAAAAACTTCCGTTCTAAAATTTGAAAACTACACTGCGTGATATTGTAAATGCAGATGGTTGTATTTAACCTGTAATTAAAGCAAGGTGGTTACATTATTATAATTAACTTTATTGGGAATTTTTACGCAAAAATGGCGAGTCATGGTTGATTATACCGGCTGTCACAAAAAAATTGACAACTTTGAAAGAAAGTTGGAACAGTACGATTCTGCAGTCTGGTGAAATTTTCTCAATCCCAGTCGGAGGAAGATTTATTTGGTGTACCAGCCAGTTTTACCCTTTTTAAGAGCTAAAGCATACAGTACACAACTCGCTCTTATTTCCTTGGTGTACGTATTTATTGCAGGGGTCCATATAATTCCTTTTTCAATCCCATTTGGGATTGACAAATTTGGAAGAAATGGGGGGCAAATTTTTTTAAAATGATAATTTAAAAAAAATTGAGGGCATTTTTATTTAATTGGGGGCATTTTTTTTAAATTGGGGGCAAATGTGTTAGTGGAATTTGAAAATGTTTTTTAATTGGGCGCATTTTTTTTATAATTGGGGGCAAATGTGTTAGTGGAATTTGAAATTTTATTTTAATTGAGGGCATTTTTTTAACTCGGGGGCAAATGGGGACAAATGTGTTATTGGAATTTGAAAATGTTTTTTAATTGGGGGCATTTTTTTCCCAATTGGGAGCAAATGCGGAATTTAAAAATGTTTTTTAAATTGGGGTCAATTGGGGAAAAATGTGTTAGTGGAATATAAAATTTTTTTTTGTTAGGGGCATTTTTTACAATTGGGGGCAATTTTTTTCCCAATTATGGGCAATTGGGGGCAAATGTGTTAGTGGAGTTTGAAAATGTTTTTTTAATTTGGGGCATTTTTTATAATTGGGGGCAAATGGGTGCAAATGTGTTAGTGGAATTTGAAATTTTATTTTAATTGGGGGCATTTTTTTTAAATTGAGGGCAAAGAAAATGTGTTAGTGGAATTTGAAAATGTTTTTTTAATTGGGGGCATTTTTTAAATTGGGGGCAAATGGGGGCAAATGGGTGCAAATGTGTTAGTGGAATTTGAAATTTTATTCTAATTGGGGGCATTTTTTTTAAATTGGGGGCAAATGTGTTAGTGGAATCTGAAAATATTTTTTGGATTTGGGCCATTTTTTTTAATTGGGGGCATTTTTTTCAATTGGGGGCAAATGGGGGCAAATGTGTTAGTGGAATTTGAAAAAAATGTTTTCAATTGGGGCATTTTTTTAATTTGGGGGCAATGGGGCAAATGTTTTAGTGAAAATTGAAAACGTTTTTTTTTTTAATTGGGGGCATGTTTTTTTACAATTGGAGGCATTTTTTTAAGTTGGGGGCAAACAATTATTTTGGGATCGAGAAAATCAGCTATTTTGGGAATTATATGGACCCCTGATTTATTGTACTGCAGTACAGCCTGACATGGGAACCAACTTTCACATACAAAATCAATGAAATATTCTGGTTATAGCAAACTATTAGGAAAGTTATCAAAATTATAAAAATTAAATGCGTTTATCTTCCTCGGATACCAGAAGAACACTGATGCATCTATTCTTGTTTACAAATTCCGCCCAGAGAGAACTGGTTTCAATATGTATTCAGAGAATACGCGACCGCAATTAACTTGCCTTACCTTACTACCTTGATGTATAACTTATATTTAAAAATTACTGAATATATAAAGAGTGTCCCATATCTTTGATTATCTCCAAGCTTTAACGCTAAAATAAAACCTTAATACTCGAACAAACTAGTAATTTCCGCAAGAAAATTCTTACATTAGCCATATTCAATTTTTCAAAATGATTCTATTTTAAATTTTCTGATTAGTCCCGAAAATCGTAATTTAGACTGATTGACGATCTAATATGATGGTAAACATAAATGTGATTGTACCAATATGACAAATTTTAAATGTTTCACTTATTTTATATATGAATGTTAATTCTCGAATTTTTATCAGAATAAACTTTATTTATTTATTTATTTACAAACTAATGCTATTTCTTTTTACATCACATTTTGATGTTTTTTCTAGAAAAATTAATTTTTCTATTTATGTTATTCTACTACAGTAAGTATAAGAAAACCGTTTTAGTCTATTCCGAATCCTTCTATTCCTTTAAAATACTTCAAGATATTTCTCAAGTACAGATATAAATATATGATCTTATACAAATATAGAAAAATTAACATCTATTGCAAAATTCTTTATGTAGATTGTGGGAAACCCCAGGGTTCTTGATTATCTACATGTTTCAAGTACTAAACTTTGTCAGCTTTTAGTGTAGTTACCTGTAAAAGATAAAAAGTAATAACCAACTTGAACCTCCAGGCATCAGTTTATACAAGGTATTTCATTTTTTTGGATCGTTACTGGCTCTAAATTGAGATTTCCATAATCTATCAGAAAATTTAAAAATTGTGCAAGCCATAAAAAAAATTTGCATGCAGAAGACTACAGGTTTATAGAATATTTTATGCGTATTTCAGCGTTATATCTTGGAAATAGATTTAAAATAAGATATGGAGTACTCTAGTATTTTATACGAATCAACAAATCCACGAGTTCATTAATTAACGCAAGGAATCAAGGTTTAATGTAACCGAATTTTCTGTTATATTTTAAGATGTTCGGTAAAATTTATTAGATGCTGGAAACGTTATTTAACTCGAGTCCTATAAGCAACCTTAAGCACTGTACGAGCAAACAAAACTTAAAAAAAATATCCTGAAGAAAAAGAATTTAGATTAGGAACCGGATTAATCTTCAGAAATCTTCCCTTAGAAGTATGTAGACTTTTGCTCTTGATAAAACAAACAATTCTTAGACATATGTTACACATCTTTATTTTAATTAAATTTATTAACAAAGACACAAATTGACGTGTAAAATTAATGAAGATTTTATACTAAATCTATATTAAATTTGGCTTGTCTGTATGTTTGTATCCAATAAACAAAAACGGCTGAACCGTACAGGCCCAATTATTTTGTGGGACCTCACGTTACCCCAGGGAAGGTTTATGAATTATCAAAATTTTAAAATTTTTTATTTTTAAAAAATTTTGAAAATGCGGAAAAAAATATTATGAAATCTGCAAACATTTTGTTTGTTTTAAACTGTACAAAGAGATGTTCAGAGATAAAGCCACAATTAAAAGTTAAAATAAAGGATGGGCGCGAAGCGCCCCAAAAGCCTAGTTTGGGTAAAATTTAATTTATTTTAAATTGAGAGGAATTAGACTTGGGGAGTAGTAGGATTATTTCCTATTTCAAAAACGGGTTTAATAAAACAAATGAGAAAGGTTACTAAAATTTTATTTTAGTCACATGGTATAAATAGTATAAATAGTTTACATAATTTAAATATAAAAACCACATCAAGTCATTATAAATCTACTAGACTAAGATTAAAAAGCTAAAATCATACAAAAAAATAAAACTGAGCTATAAGCAAGAATTTGGCTCGAACCAGAATTAAGACCAGACAAAGAATCAGAACTGTGTTTAGAATCGGTTTCCGGCTCAGATTCGGGTTCAGGTTCAAGTTCAGAACGAGGAGATCTTTCAGCATCTTGTTCAGCAACCTTGAGATCATATTTGTCGAGCACACTGCGGAGAACAGGATCCTCTCCTCCTGCTGCACGAACAGCTCGTCTCTGAATAAAAAATCATGATTTGGTTGGATCGTAATTCATAGACAACTTTTCGGTAATGACATCAAAGTTCATACGAGATTAAATTTACAGAAATAAGGTTACCAGCCGTTTGATAAATCAGAGAATTGATTTCCATCTCTTTCAATGGGTACGCAAATAAAATTGTTTATGAAAGCCAGCTTATTTTTGAATTTAATCTATTCACATTAGGTTTGAACAATTTGGTCGACAACTATATTTGTTAATCAATTGTGAGACCAAAGAATAAATAAACGTTCAATAATAAAACAGAATTTAAATTTAGAGAGCAAAGTAGGAACACTTAAAAATCAACTCTGTTAATAACCAAAACAAAGGAAAATTTAAACTTACCCTGGGCAACTCTAGGTATTCTCCGAACTGATGCACCTCCAGGTTGCTTGCTGAATGAGGAGACAAGTTTGAAAGAAGATCAGCCGACACGTTGTTCAAGCTTGGGATTATTCGGACTGCAGAATCAGAAACCTAAAGGGTTTAGAGTAACAAATAATACCAAGAATAATTATAACTAAACAATTTTTGCCTTATCAAGTTTAGACCAATCATGATATTAATTAAAAGCATCGAAGTGTTCAAAGTGAAGTGTATAAAATTCAACCAATAGTAGCGTACCAAAATCCTATTCAGCCTATCAAAAGCAGAGATATTTCAGATTTTGCGTGCCACTCTCATTAGTGGTAATATAGACAGGGATATATAAAAAGAGAGGAAAATCAGATTAAGCAGGAAATGTGTATCTGAACAAGCAACTATGTGCAGTAATATAAAAATTGCTTACATGGCTCATCATGGTTGAAGATAATCTGTTGAGATGCTCCTCGGGTAGTACACCCATCAACCAGTTCAACTCTATCACGGAGCTGACCGACTCAGTCAAAGTTCGCTGAGCTACATTCAGATTAAATTCTGTCAAAGAAGGTTTGATGTAGGTATACAGCAAAGCACGAACCTAGAAAAGCAACATTAAATAATTAACTTTTAACTAAAGTTCTTTTATATTTTACCTTCTCATCCGCCATGCAGTTAAGTCTAGCCAGACTAGGCATCATAACCTTAGTGAAGGTTTGTCTGTTTACGTAACTCAGCCATTCGTCGGCAGTTAGTCCGCACAACATTCGTCCCAAGGAAGCCAGCTCAAGTTCGTTCAAGACGACCTTATTATTAACCTTTAAGTACTCGTGGATCAGAAGGTCTGAGTGTTTACCTAGTACAGAGATTGCATCAATGTTGCTTTGATCAAGGTTGAGATATTGGGGATTAAACCTTGCTACTTCCCCCAGAAGCTTATTCAAATTAATCATCTCTCCTCCTGTTATTTTAGTTCCATCAGGATACAGTTTCTTACGAATAGCAGCCCAAATCTCGGGTCTGTAAGATTCCAGAATGTCCATGTTCCCAAAAACCTCCAAACAATCGGCAACTTCGGTTTTGTTCATTCTACCTATATCATCGCTACGAATCATGGCTGCTGAACGTCCGGCAGTCTTAAGGTCATCGCAAGTTAATGAGATATCATCCAGGTGTAGTAGAACAGAATGTGGAACAATTACAACTGGCTTTGTAGTTGGAGTTGGCGAGAAACTTTCGATTTCTTTCTGAAGAAACTCTTCTTCGTCCACAAGAACAATGGTAGGGGGTGCAGTTACATTTTCAGGAGAGGTATATTTAGCAGTTGCCATGTAAGCCTCAACTTCCTTGAAAGTTACTCTAGAATTGACTTGGTTGATCATTTCAGCAGAAATTCCCAATTCAGATGCACTTAATTTCAGCAGCTTTACCAGTTCTTGTATCAGACGTATCTAAACAAACGAGTTCATAAAAATCTTTACTCGATAAGGTTAAAAGTAAAAAAAAAATACTACTTTGTTATATCCCTATAAAATCACTCTTCAAACAAGACATATTTGAAAGAGATACCTCAGTTATAGTTTCAGCTTAAATTGCGTTACCAAGCTCACTGCTGAAAATGAACCATCAGGTAAGTCAAAACATCTAATTTTTTCTTCGGAATATATTAATATGTAAGCTTCGGAGTTATTATCTGAAATTCAGAAAATGCCACCCAGGGAATTTTAATTAAATCCATTTAAGAAATTGTAAAAAAGGGCATTTTAAAGTCTAAAACAAACTTAATTGTAGGTTTAAAGATAATTCAGCGCTTTTTTGCGATATTTTTTAGAACCGTTGATGGCAGGGTCACAATTTTGAGAATTTTCCTTGACAATCGTAACAATCATAAGACATGTTTTAGCAAGAAAAAATCAAAGCCTTAAGTGAACTGTGCAATTACCCAATTACTGCCAAGACTTTCTGAAGTAAAATAAAAAATTACATCAAAAAAACTTTTTTGCGCCGCATTTTTACAGGCAGAGTTTGATTTTTTGCTAAAATAAGTTATGAAAAATAATAAAATTTGGAGACCATGTTGTACTGTTAGAAAAATAACCCAGAATAGGCAGATCAAAGTCTTGAAAAGAAATTGTTTATTTTAAGACCTGTGAATGCAATTGATTCTACAATTTTTTAAAAATTGATTTGATAATCCAAAGAAAAAGTTTAGGTGTTTTGACTGTGTGTGACTGAGTGTGAGCTTTATAATCAAGAGTTGACCTGACGTCAAACCTCAGGCATAACTTAACAACCTGCGCATCCAGGGCTAGCTGTGTTATCCCTTGTTCCTGCGCCTGGGTTAGATTCCTCGCAGCCTTGAAATCAGTGATAGTTTTCAGCACAACTGTTTGGTTCCACATACCTTTAGTTGGATTAATACCTGCAAATAGCATAATAAGAAAAAGAAGCGTGAAATTAATTAAATGCTCCAAAAAGCCTGTAAAAAACTAAAAACCCATACTAACGGCAAACAAGAAATAACATTTATTCACCTAAAATTCTGAGACTGCCATTGCCCAACAATTCTTGAGTTCTCGTGATAACAGTGACTGCTTGATCACTGATATTAGGCGGCAAGCTCTTATACCGTTTCATGAGAATATCCATTACCTAAACAAAGGATCAAAATATTAATTAACTTCTATATAGTCCATTCCATAAACAAAATGCATAAATAGAGGCGATATACCTTATCGTGCAAAAGCCTGTAATCAATCTTTGGCGCAGTTTCCAGCTGTTCTTTGGCTTGCCGCGTAACACGGAACACAGATTCATTATCAACTGACCGATAAAAGCGCGTGTAGCCTCGTGACTCAGGAACCAGATTCCGTGCCCCCGAATATCTGGGTTGAATCGAATTATAGGAAGAAATTTCATTAACTCCGCTCAAATGCCACATTGCAAGCTTGCCCCAAGCCTCGATAAACAATTTGCCCTAAAGATGCAATCACATTAATTTTAAATTTTCATAAATATTTTTTTCAATTATACCTCTCCGAAGTCCAAGCTTTCTCCATCATTAAGAAATGCTGCACAAGCCTCGTAGTAAAGCCTGTGATCTGTATGACCTCTAATTTCTGGCAATTCTTCCCCATAAAGAGATTCTTTCACAAGCTGTGGAACAACCGTTCGTAATGCTTTAACAGGGACCTTAAAAACGATAGTTAATATAAATTCATGAATTCAAAATAAAAGTCAAAACAAAAAATAATTTAATTAACCTGCACAAGATCAGCTTCAGACATAACAATCAGAAAATCTCCCAAATAGAACAGATCCATGCTAGTCCAGTTGGAAGGATGGCCATAAGCCTGGAAAAATTACAAATTAGTCAGGAAAAAAAAGTTAAACTCTGGATTATATACCTTCAAAATGTAATTTCTAATAATATTTCGCTGTCTAGTTGGAATGCATAGTGCTCTTGAATCATCAGTGTTACGATGAACAGTTTCAATGAACCATCTAAAATAATGAAGATTTACTTTTGCATTCAGAAGGATTACTAATGCATTTAACTTTCATATCGCCAAGTTATAGCAATTAACTTTGTTGTGGCCAACATTAGAAAGTTAANGTTATAAAGCAAAAATTCGAATTTTACAAACCTGAAATCTAATCCAGAAACATCAACTTCATGTTTTAAGTAAGGGAACAAATCTCTCATCTTGCTCATGACGCCAATATCAACAATAGCTAAACAAGAGTTAATTTAACCCATACTAGTTGCTTGATGCAAACAGTTAAAACACAATTACGAATGTGCAACACACTACGTCTAGCCGTAGACTTGATACAAAAGTCTAAGTTTGTGTGATATAATTAGCTCTGGCTCATCTCCTATCTCCAGCATTGGCAATTTTACGAATCAAATCAAATTAAAGAATAAATCAAAATTTTCCTGTACATTGGTTCAATTCGATTTGAAATTTTATTTGGTTATACAAACATAGAAACCATACCTTTTTCCGATTCAACAAGAGAATTCAACAGTACATTAGCCATAAGCTCCATATCAGAATAGGACACTCCATTGTGAAGATAAATATGAGGAGCCTCATTGGATATCATAATTAGAACTTCCATCATAACCTACAATATAAAGATACAGGTTATATCCAGAAGTGTTGATGAAAATCCACGGGCAACGCACCTTAGGGTGAGTAATGGAAGCCAAGGTTTCTCCACCCCAAGTCAGCATAATTTCCGCCCCAATAGATCTAATTTCCGCCGCGGTGAGAAGAGACAAAAGTTCGACTTCGCCATTCACTTGAATACGATACAATTCTGCCTTCAGAGTTAAATACTTCCTTACTGCCGCTGCAAAACATCTAAAATAACGTAGATTTAAAATTAAGAAAACCCACGAACAAACATTGCTCCTCGAAACTAATTTAAGGCCGGTTCAAGAGACACTCCGCAGAGATTTGTTCAGTTGAAGAGTGGTCGAAGAGATACATTGGATAACCCGACTGAAGAACCCGCCTAAATCTATAAAATGCTAAAAATCTTACTTCCGGATACAACTGGGAACAACGTCTGTAACTGTAGGTCTATACGCAGAGATGACTTCAATAATTTCTCCTGGTCGAATCTTGGAAATTAGATCACAGGTCAAACCTTTAATACAAATATTACTTGTGAAAATATTCAAAATTTCATCAACTATCAATCGATCTGATTAATTTTTAGCAACTCTTCACGTCAGATTTACAACGGAACCCTTGAAGTTTTTTGAAGAAAAAGAATTTTAATTTCTATTTTTATTTATTCATAAATTAAAACTGTAGTTTACGCGCATGTTTACTAATAGAATTATCAAAATTAAAACATCTTTCACAAAAAGCAGACTTAAAAAAAGTGAGCCTCTTCACACCTCTACAATAGAGATTCCAGAAATCTAGAAAATTAGTTTCAAAATTCAGAGTGAGAGAAAATAAAAGGAGAGAAAAGATAACAAAAAAAAAAATTTGTATTAGACAAGCTGTACCCAATAAAATTAAAAATTAAAATAAATTTAAGAATCTTCAAGATTCAAGAGTTCCGGTGTGACAACGAACACTAACCTGAAAGAGCTAAATAAGGCAGGAGGGATGAAGGACCCTTTTCAGAGATAGACACACGATTCAGAAGCAAGTCACTGTTGATATATCCTAAAAATTTAATTTTTAATCCTCGCAATTTTTTTTAAACTAAAATGTAAATTAAAATTTCCAATGAAAGTAGATTATCCAGAGCAATTATAACAATTGCGCACATTCCTAATTTTAATACATAAAAATTAAAACTATAAATAAATTTTAATCAATCGACAATTTCAATAAGTTATCATTACCATTTTCATCGACTGGACTAGCTAGTTCTAACCAAGCAGCTTTTAATCTCATTGACAACCTTAAATAAAATAAATAGTTAATCGGTTTTATAAAATGGTAAATAAAAAACATTTCCCATCATGGTAAATACTCAAATACGGCACCATTTAGCTCAGCCCCTTAACCTACTTAAGCTAACTCGGCCCATCTTCCAACCCCACTTTGTTTTAACATGTAGAAAAAGAGAGGCTTACTTGTTAATGTCCCGACTGGTCGAATTGAGCAAATGTTGAATCTTCTTTTTCAACTCTTGCACAGTAAAATACTCAAATAGACCAGGATTATACTTAACAACCGAGTCAACCTGTTCCCAGATCTTGGATTTGTGAGAGGATAACAAAGCTACAGTTTGAGCTGGTGTAAATCTAAAAAACGCATTTTTACCCCTTTTTTTAACAAAAAATGTAATTTTATGAAAGAAGTACTTAAAAAAAACGTACAAAATAATAAAGAAGGTTTGGGCAATGTCCAATTTACGATGATACTGGTTAGCCTGATGAGGGGAGGAAGGCTAGCCACAACAATTTCTAGTCAGAGCCACTTTCTCCTAATATTCTCATCCGAGCCACCGCTAAATCCTCTTCCTTCCAATATTATTTTTCAAAAGTGTCTAGTCCTCCAAGATACAACAAATTTTAAAGAATCGGGCCACGTTCGGGCATAAATGAAATATTAAATCGGTAAATCAAAAGAATAGTTTCAATTGAATTAAAGTTTGAGTCAAAGTTCTTTTCTTACGCACATTCAGATATTTCTGGTGTAGAATGCTGCAACTAATTCCGAGATTATAGAACTTTTTTTCTTTTCTCTTTATTAGTGCAAACCATAAAACCATAGAATTTTCCCGGGTAGTTCCATGGGGAAAATGATAGGCATAGGTATGCCAAATATTTAACTATCTGCAATACTTTAGTCTATCCATATTTCATGCCCTAACGTGGCCAGATTTGTTAAAAATAGTTTTATCTGCAAGAATTAGAAACTTTTAAACACATAATAAACAAAGGAGGAGGATTTTGGTGTGGACGAGAAAATGATGGAATTTGACTCTGGACAAGAATTTGTTGTGGCTAGCCTTCCTCCCCTCGCTTGATAAATCTGCCAATTCCAAATTATGAACATTCATACAAACTTGTGAATTGGGAACGACCATTTTTGCAGACAGGGTAACTTTAAATTAAGCTTACAAGATCCCATGGACCCATAACCTAAGAATTAGAAAAATCTAACCTTGCAGATGCTTTAATCATGTCCTCGTTAAAACTTATCGAAGTCATATACGTGAGAGCCTGACCGCTCAAAACTTTAGAAGAAAGTGCAGGATATAACCCAGCAGGAAGTGTGAATTTATTTCCCTTTTCAGCCTTAAACAAATCATTCATGAACAGAATTTATATTGAAATAACAATAACCATAAAGTCATTTAACTCATTAAGTAGTTATAAGGAGAAGTCGTACCATATAATTTATTAACAAGATTTCAGAAGAAACTTAAACCAAAGCAATCTCAAGAACTTTCATATTTGTGGGAACTAGGGTGAATAATTGTATTACCTCATGAGTTTTATCGTGAATTATGTAAAGTTGTCCATTGGTAAGCTTATCCGAGAGCAATTCAGAGGTCACAGAAGATTTAAAAACCTTAGGAACAAATAAAATCCATTTTCCGATTTTAAAAATATTTTGTAGATTCAACTCATTCGCCAATTGCATTAACGCTTGCAAGGATGATTTGAACTCGACATAAAATTCCCTGTACTAAATAATTCTTAAAATGCAAGATTCGATCGAAACTGGCATCATAAATCCCTCCATGCAAAGCCGATTCACAACGGTACACTGTACTGTAGGTATGCATTAGAATTAAAAATCCAATTTTCAAATGCAGTTTCTATAAATCGCAGATATATCAGAATTTATTTTCGAATCGACAATATCTTCATGTTGATCAGATCAAGATTTCAAGGGTACCGTTGTGAATCAGGCACTGCTATCATATCAAAGAATCCCTCAATCAAAAAAAATTCACCTTGGCTGGAATAGCTTTTAAATCGCTGAATGAGAAAGAGTTAATAAGTTTACCGACACCCATGACCTCCACCATGCCATAGGTAGCCTTCGGACTTGTGGGAAGATGCTTAGAGATAAAATATCTAAGAATTGAGAAAGGAACATCATCTCCCAACCAGAATATAGGATCTAGCTTCTTCCAACCATTGTGCTGAGGTATAAAGCTCTGAATAGAAATAGGGATAAAGTTCTAAAGACAAAGATAAATTCTGAAAGACAAAAAATGGATTAAATTATAAAAATTATAAAGCTTTTAACAAAAAGAGGGATACGGTTCTGAGCAAAAGGGGATTTAAGGTTCTGAACAAAAAAAAGAGATTTGAGGTTCTGAACAAAAAAAAGGGATAAGGTTCTGAATAATAAGAGGGATAAGGTTCTGAACAATAAGAGGGATAAGGTTATGAACAATAAGAGGGATAAGGTTATGAACAATAAGAGGGATAAGGTTATGAACAATAAGAGGGATAAGGTTATGAACAATAAGAGGGATAAGGTTATGAACAATAAGAGGGATAAGGTTATGAACAATAAGAGGGATAAGGTTATGAACAATAAGAGGGATAAGGTTATGAACAATAAGAGGGATAAGGTTCTGAACAATAAGAGGGATAAGGTTATGAACAATAAGGGCGAGTCTAATCTTGATCTTCTGAGGCCGAATTTAAAGAATTTGAGCCGCACCTTGAATTTAAGCCGCGGCTCAAATATGGTTAGTTCCACTTGAATAATCAAGGCTTCCAAGATTTAAGCTGGCGCTTAATTGTAACCAGTTTTTAGTAAGATGCGGCTCAAAATCAAGTTCGGACTCTGATTAATTCAATCTTATTTGAGGTCACCATTGATCCTCAAATTAAAAGTACCCTCTAAATATATCGAGATCAATGAGGGGGGGGGGGCATGCAGCCAGGAGCCCAGCAATATCCTAACCAAACCCAGATAATGCAGAACCCTGCCCGCCCACGGAATCCCAGCAAAAAAAGCTCAATTTATTACAATTGAAAGTAATAATTTTATTTATAATTCTTTTATAATTCACAATACATTTACTGTAGATTATTGCAAGAATGGTGCATGGTTTAAATGATAAATAATAAGTTACAAATTGAAAGATTTTACATATCACCTAATCACTGCGAACACTCCATCTAAGTTTTTTTTAATTTTAAGACAAAATTTTGCACTGAATAAGTTTTTAAAGCATTGATTTAAGAGGAGTATAAAACCTATTCTTAATTCTTATAAGTCGATTAGAGGTCTTTTACTGGGCTTGAATCCACAGGGTTGAGATCTGCCAACCACCTGGGTTCAAACAGGATATTGTCAAGCTCATTGCCGCATGACCCTCCCTCCCTTCAATCGATCGGAAATATAAGCATTAAGCAATAAACTATCAAACACAGCTCTGCAAAACGTAAAAATCAAGAGAACTCTGTTCAGAGAAAAATTTCAAATTTTAAACGAGAATATACATTTCAAATTGGTTAACAATCCCTTTCGTAAAACAAACTAACTTACCAACTTATAAAAGTTGTCTATCTGCTCAATATCCAACTTGTATCCAACCTCGAAGAACAGTTGAGACAAGGGCTGGACCACACTGTCGTCAAACACAGGTAATGGTACATTAGTGCCCAGCATATTCCAGATAACTTGGATCTGAATAAAGATTTATCAAATGGATCTGAATAAAAAATTATCAAATGAATCTGAATAAAGAATTATCAAATGGATCTGAAAAGAATTATCAAATGGATCTGATTAAAGAATTATCAAATAAGACCAGAATAAAGAATTATCAAATGGATCTGAATAAAAAATTATCACAAGGATCTGAATAAAGAATTATCAAATAAGACCAGAATAAAGAATTATCAAATGGATCTGAATTAAAAAATATCAAATGGATCTGTATAAAAAATTATCAAATGGATCTGAATAAAAAAATATCAAATGGATCTGAATAAAAAATAATCAAATGGATCTGAATAAAAAAATTATCAAATGGATCTGAATAAAATATTATGAAATGGATCTGAATAAAAAATAATCAAAAACGTCAAAATAAAATACAAAACGAAAAATTAAAATTGTAACGATGTCAAATTGAGGCTTATTCCGACCACAGGAAGCAGCCAGGGCAATTAAATATCCCAAGCTACTGACTGTGATTGAGCAAACCTCACAAACCTCTTGTATGTTGTATTACACAGGGACATCTCGTCCTAATAAGGTAGGAAAATAACAAGAAAAACCAACACAAAGCTTCAGCATTAATCAATAAACTTCAGACCAGTGTGACAGTGAGAGCCAGATTCAAGTAGTTACTGAAGTCACATCTATTCCAGAAGCAGCGGAGAGCTCGCTATTGTTTAGGGTTGTACTAGATAGATGCCTGGAGTAATAAAAACCCGAGCACCTGATCTAGTACAATCCTAACCAACAGCAACATAATCAGGAACAGCAGTCTTGAAATCCGCGAACAGAGGTCTAAAAATCCGCAAGCCTGAGGAGAAATCCTACAATAAATAATTATATATTTTAGGAAATCTACTCAGACCCGAAAACTTGAAATACAAATACTTGACTGGATCAGCTGTATTCAGAGCAAGTGAGGAAGCAGTCTCGATATTTACAGAGAGCAGTGTTGATGCAGCTGTATTGAGGAACAATCCTACAGAAGTCTACAAAAAGCTTTCATAGAATTAATCCCCAAAACAGACACCCCAACGCTTAAAGATTCAAGAGAATTCTCCGCTTGGATTGAATAAATTTAATAATTTTTAATGGTAAAACTTACTCTTAAAGGGTTCAAGTCCAGCCTAGCTAACCCAGATCTATCAGCAGGAGATAAACTCTCAAGCATTGATGGAATCTGGAATAAGGTCACTTTAGATCTGTGGTTAAAATATTATTGTTTTAAGGTCAAATTAGGTTAATGTTTATTGTATAAAATGTCAATTGGATGAGAGGTCATTTAGATAAATTAGTTATCAGAATAGATAACTAATTAAAATTAAGCTGAATTAGAAATGGTCATAATGGATATCAGAGCTGAAAACTTTTGAATGGGATATCCTTAATCCTGATCGGATAATTAATCTGGAGATTAAAAATGAGAGAACAAGCAATATTTAATCTCAAGATTAAGAAAAAGAGTGGATTAAGCATTAATCCTGATATCCACCTTTCTAAAGTTTTCAGCTCAGGTCAAATAACTTAATGTCAGATTAGACTAAAGGTCAAATTTGACAATAATGACATGGACAAGGTTAAAATATCTTTAAGGTCCATTCAAAATCATTCCTATCTGAAATATTTCCGAAGATGAGTGAAACATTATTATTAAAGGTCAAGAAATAAAGTTAAAAACCTTGTCAAGGGGAACCACAGATATAATTGATTTGAGGAACGCCTTCGATTCAATAATCTTCTGATCACCCTATAAATCAAAAAATCAATTAAATGGGATTACAAAGGACGAAATTGTTGTATTATTAGGTTCTTCCATTTCAATTGTGAACATCTCATTATATACCTTGCAAAACAAATTGGCGGATTTTATAAAATAATTCGAGGATATTCAAAATTTTGTCCAGGCTAATTTGAAATTTAGCTCAAACAAACCTTCCCAGAGCCCAAGACTTAAGACAGGGTATCGTTATGAAAACCAATTTTAAAACCCAGGTTTCACAATTGGGGTTAGGCCTTTTTGTGCAAATCAATATTTTGGCAATGACATATTATTTTTTTCAGTTTGTTTTTATTCTCCATTATTTTCGAATCTCTTAAATCAAAATCTACACAAATGTTAAGACCCCAAAAAGAAAACTCAGGAGTTTCGTTCAACGATACTCTTTTAAATTTCGGGCTCAGGGGTCACGCTAGTTCCAACACAATTTGGGTCCGATCGGTTCAGCCGTTTTGACGTTTATTTGATACAAAAAGACAAGCCAAGTATATATAGATTTTTCACATATTAAACCACAAGATAAAAGGTCTCATGGCAAGTGCCTTTCAATTGGGAAATAACATTGGAATTTTAATTACCAAGTTTCTCTGTGCCAGAATATACCAAGCCATCCGTCCCCCTGGAGTAGTGTAATCCAGAAGATCTCCACTTGTGCTCAACCTAGATCAAGTTAATCACTTAAATAAAGCATCATCAAACCTTTAGAATTAATAATCAAGTTGAAATGGTTAGGTTCTACTTTAAAGTTAATTTTAAGGTCATTAGATTAATAAATAATGAGCTGAATAATCATTGTCCCATTGAAAGGATTAAATAAAAATAGCCTTAGTGTATTGATATGATAATATTTTATGTATTCAATAAACCGGCTGCAAGCACAAATTCAAGCAACCCTTCAATCTCTATGCAATGATTGGGATGCCAGATTCACATGATCCCCTGAAAGCTTTGTCTGAAACGTAAATTTTTAACTTTTCTTATTCTGAGAAAGTTTTCAATTGTAGTTTCACTTCAAGAGTGACTTGCGCATTACTAGTGCAGGAAAAATAACTAAATCTCCAGAATTGAACAATTCTAAACCTAGAACAAAACCTTCAAATTAATCAGATAGAAGATTTTAAATGATCAAATACAAATCTTTGGTACCACAATGAATCGGGCATTGCCATCACTAGATAGAGGGAGTCCCTTTAAAAGACACTCACTTTTGAGCGAGCTGCATATCCTTAAAGGTCTGATTGTCAATCATAAGAATATCCTCGACTGGTAAGTGAATCAAACTCTCAAACGAGAAGAGAGAACTTTTCATCTTGTCCATCTGCCATCTAGAAAAATAATTAAAGATTTCAAACCCAATTTCATGTAAAACTTAAGTGTACAGATTTGAAACAAATACCCGCACGAAAAGAAATCTAAAGAGGGATGTTCATTTGTTAATGGGAGAGAAAAAATTATTTTGGTCTGGGGAAAAATAAATTGACAAGAAAGTTCATCCTAAATACCGAACCCCATACCCCTCCCATAAAATCAATTTCCCCTTAGTTTTCAATAAACTCATCCCATCTACCTGTATCCTATCAAGTTCCCCAACTCGTTCCTCAGAATCTTGCTGGACGACTTTGCCAACTTCCTCGCAAAGATATTCAAGTAGCTCGCCATCAGATTGTTATCTCTGACAGAATTATATACAGAACCAGCCGCATTGTAGAACAGGAAGATGTTGTTTTCCTCCTTCTCGACCTTGTTAGCCCAGTCCTCAGGAGTGGAGTAGACACCCTTGTACACCTGGGGGAATAGCAGATTTCTCCAGGTTTGAGGAACATAGGATAATTCATTGGTAGACTTTGGTTTGGAGAGAAACTTATTCCAGTTCCGGATATCGGTGTCAAATACAACACTTTTATTGGATAATTGATGAGTAAAATCCAGTAGAAGCAGGGTCAGTTCATCTTTAGACATAGGATTAAATCCGCGGTACGTTGAAACATAATCATCAATTGAACTTCTTATATCGACATACGGAGATTCATAGTTAGGCCTTTTCATCTTGAGGTTAATATCTTTGCATTTATCGAGAGGAAAATATTTCTTGTTCACCTCCGATGTCATGTAATCATTAAAACTTTCATAAAACATATTGTTCAGTTCAAAGGAGACAAGTTTCATGTCCAAAGGTGCTAAAGGGGAGAGGGTTGTTGTACTTGTGGTTGTTGTGGTAGATTCTTGCTCGTGCAGTTTCTGAGAGCCAACAGTTGCAACCAACCAGAGGCAAATTAAAAAGAACCCCATACCTGAAAAAACAAGATTTATAAACTTTATCGAAATAATTAAAAAATTTAAACCCCCGGCTTGCAATAATTCCCAGGAGGGGGGGGGGGGGTGAATCAAATTATCTGGCGCCTAACATATGAAGCTTTTAAGGTGCCTGCTCTGTTTGCTCTGCCTACTTGAAACCAAAATCGCTATTCGCTATACGGCTCTAGACAAGAAGGAAACAAATATAGGGATCCTGTATCCATTATACACCTCAAAAACCATAAAAGAGCGCTCATGCAAGGACGGCAAGGCCTAAGTCTACAGGTCAGTGCCGTTTTAAATTATTTAATCGATGCCATGATTTAAACAGATATTATTTCGTTTTGATTCAGGAATAGAGAGTAAGGGGGCACGAGGGAATCGTAAAACAGGAAATACATGGAGGTCACTACCTTCGAGGTTTCATTAGCAAGTCCGCCCATGACCTAACTAGATAAAATCAATCCTAAGCCCCAAATAAACGGGTCCAGCAGCGGCTAGGATGGGCTAGGGGGCCAAGCTCCACGGCTAGGACAAGCTAGGGGGCCAAGCGCCGCGACTAGGAAAGGTTAAGGGGGCCGGCGCTGCATCCACATGATCTCAATTATACAAAATGTACAATGGGGGGAGGGAGGAGGGGTAGGGGTTCCAAAAATAGTTCCCTAGAATATAACCAAATAATGTTATCACTAAGTATACGACCCCTCACACCTTCCTAAGAGGTTTCTGCCCCCCCCCCCTTTCAATCAATTTTGTACAGTTTCAGCAAAATTATTGAGCATTATTAATTTTAAATTATTTAAGGGTTAGGGTTAAGACGTTGCTGGGCCGAGCACAGCGGCTTGGACGACTAGGAGGCCGAGCGCCGCGGCTAGGACAAGCTAGGGGGCTAGGCGCTGCAGCCACACGACCAATGATAACCATGAGCAAAATTAATAGGAGGGGAGGCCCAAGGGCCAGGGGGGGTCCAATCGGTCTCTAAGGAAACTACCAAAACAGTTAAATCTCAAATATCCTAACGTTAACGAACATCTGACAATAAGCAATTAAGCATGTTCACCTGAGCTTCACAAATACTCAGGCTTGTTCATTGACTACCTCTTTCAGTGATCAAAGATGTACTGTGTAATGTTTATGTTTACGCTAATATTTAAAAACAATCAAATTTTCAAGAACCAACAAAGTACACGCTGACGTCACGAATACGTCAGAATGAGCCAATGAAAATCCGCCGTTTTGACGGACCAATCACAAAATTATCCGAGAAATTCTGAGAAAAGATGATGCAGTTTTTACTTTAAGTTTTTCTTTAATTTTACTTAACAATTTTAATTTTTACAATTGTTAAAGAATTAAGAATTTATTAATACGAGTACAGAATCTATAGCAGAAAATGTAGGAATTAAGAATCTAAGTAAGAAAGTCCCGGGAAAAAAAGTTTCTGGAAGGGGGCAAAATTTGAACTGTAAATTCAAAACATTTGGTTTCTTGGATACTTTAAATGTAGACATACACTATTATACACTCCATGATTACCATACAAGGACTACTTTATCTCTACACAGTGGCGTACGAGGGGGGGACGCGCCCCCCGCCCCCCTCTACGCATGCCCCCCCTGAGAGGCTGAGGGGGGGGGGCACCCAGGGGGAGGCTCTTTTAATATTACATCTGCTTGCATTTCCCTTCCTCAGGCCAGGCACAGTGGCGTACCTAGGGGGGGCAGTAGTCCTCTTGCCCCCCTGGGAGTTCCAGGCGTGGCACTGCCCCCCTGGAAAATATAAAATTAAAAGGAAACTACGTTTAAAAAGTAACACCTGACAATGACAAAGACTAAGGATTTGTCTGAATTCACTGTTAATACAAAATTATCAAATGGATCTGAATAAAAAATTATCAAATGGATCTGAATAAAGAATTATCAAATGGATCTGATTAAAGAAACACTCCATTGTGAAGATANTAAGTGATAAATTTATAAGGTTAAAAAGTTAGTTTTTCAAGCAAAGGAATAATTTTTAGACTCTATAAGGTTAGTAACCACCCAAAAATGTAGTCTTTTTGGTGTATTTTTATGGTGAACAAAACAAGTCCAGGTGGGAGGGGGGGGAAAAAAAATTAAAAAAAGGTATCAATATTTTTTCAAAAAAGGGGTTTTAAGGGGGGGGGCACAATGTTGCCAAGTGGGGGACCCAAAATTTTTTTGTGCCCCCCCCCTAAAAAAAAGCCCTCGTACGCCCCTGTCTCTACATCAAACAAAACATAGTAGGAAAAAATATCAAATTAATGTTTTTAATACTCCTCACTCTTCAGTTTCAGATTTGAAAATTGTGATACCTCTGAGCTTTCCATTTCTAGGTAGGGGCACAACCCCCTGGCCCCCGGGCCCCCCCCTGTTTACGCCAGTGAAAGAGGGGTTTACCTAGGTATAATCATGTCCAGGAGCAGGGATCATGGTCATGGACTTGGAGTATACAGGAATTTATTGGGGGGGGGGAGGGTTATTTTTTATTTTTTCCTAAGCCCCCCTGAAATCACAACTGCGATTTTTTCAGGAGGTGAAGGGGCTAAGCTTCCGTAGCCCCCCTTTTCGTTCCCCTTCTTAACTGAAAAATAAAACTGCATGTATAATTTCGCTGCTGTGCCCTCCCTAAATGAAGAAAATTGAGAACATTGAGTTGGAAATATAGCAAAAAAAAACAGTTTTCTGAAAAAAAGTTTTTGGAAATAAAGTCCTAAAGTTGGCACTAAAAAAGTCCTGTGGAAGAAAGTCCACAAAACAAAAAGTATTTGGAAATAAAGTCCTACAAGCTTGAAAGTCCCAGGAATCTAAAACTCAGGACTTCAAAAAATTGGGACTTTTTTACCAAAACTTTTATTTTCAGGTTTTTTTCCAGATACTTTTTTTCCAGTGACTTTCTTACATAGATTCCCAGGGTGAATGTTCACCAACCTTTCTCCTAACAAAAAGATAAAAATTGTCTACGTGTAACATCAAATTAAAGCCAAACTTAATAATTATGATAACAAAATTTGCCATGCAACAAGGACCCGCTGTAATCAATTGTATTTGAGTTTTATTTTTTCTTAAAATTATATATATCAGAAAAAATTATGTCATAATTTTAATCGAGCAAGGGAGTGGTGTTCGGTTGGAAGTCAAAAGTCATTTTGTTTAAGGGGCGTACACAGGAATTATTCAGGTGGTGACTTATTTGTTGCAGCACCCGTTGCCCGTTGTGCCTAAAAACCACCTGGAAACCATAAATTCTACTGATCCAGGGGGGGGGAAGTCAACATAGCCCCCTTTTTTTATGTTTTAGATATGAGAGATATTATTGTATAGGAATCAAAATCAATAAAGCAATGCACTGAGTTTCTCAAATATTCAACGAGTCGGTTTTTCTTACAATATATTTATATACAAAAGATACAAAAATACAAACTTTAAATCGAACGATACTTATACAAACTAAATATTATGAATCAGATCAGTTTCATCAAATAGGGGACATTTTTACATTTTGCATTTTCTCATCGTTTCACTTATACAAACTAAATATTATGAATCAAATCAGTTTCATCAAATAGGGGAATTCTTCAAGGGAACCTACACAGAGGGAGCTGGTCTTCAACTGCCCGTCCTCACTCGATTTTGCTCCATCCTAGGATCGCANACAGTCTACACGTGCGATATCGATATTGACTCTAGTTCTGAACCCTCTAGTAATAAGTTATAAGAAATATATATACTGGAAGTTATCTATGCGTTTTATTAGAGTCTGACTCACGTCCTCTATAAGCTATTGATATATTTTATATCTATATCTTTATTTACCATGCGTTGCAGAAATATTAAAACATTTTCTTTTATTAAAGGGATAGATCACCACTGGGCGATCCCTCCTTGGCCTTAAAAATAATTTTATTTTATAATAATAAGACTGCTCATGTCCCCTACATAGTTCATTGTAGTCCCAATTCAAGGACTATACATTATAATGTATCCCTCTGTATAGTTCTGTATTACTCTCTGAGGTCCTCAGAAGTCTCCTGAGACTACTCCCCTTTGTAGTTCAGTGTAGTCCAAACTCAATGACTATATATTATAATGTATCCCTCTGTATAGTTCTGTATTACTCTCTGAAGTCCTGAGTAGTCTCCCAAAGATTATCATTAGTCATTTGTGCTCTTTATTCTCCCCCGCCCCTCCTCTCTTAATGTATTCTCCCCCTGGCCTTCATGGGGGTTGCGGGAAGATATGACAAACACTTTTATAATATATACAGTTTAATGGTTTAATAAAAAAAAACTAAGGTAAAATTTTAAAATAAAAAAAAAGCGCCAAGAAAACTACTTTTTAAGGAAGAAAACACCCCTTTACAGATGGGTGCAAGCTCATTTTTTAACTACTACACCTGATTTTAACTTTTGCAAGAGGACTACTGCTCCCCCCCCCCTGCATATGCGCCTGGGATCGATGAATGAAATGAAAAAATGAGTAGTTGACACTGACAGTGACTGTTTAGATCCAACAAATTAAGTGTAGGCAAAAATCGTTCTCTTACATCTATTTAAGAAACCGTGAGATTGAAAACCAGAAATCTCTGGATCAGGAAGACGACGTTTAGACTTCAGTTATGGCTTTAGATAATCTAACGAACATGACACACAGCAATTGTGCAGTGTAAACAGACCAATTTTAACTTAATAAGATTTTTAATAAGTTACTTGTGCACCTAGTTTAGCTTTGTAATAACATTGATAAAATGGTGTCTGGATTCTCACTGCAAAGTAAAGGCTTAGTTCGTATTTATTAAATTTTGGTCAATATATTTTGTATAATCATATGTGGAAAACTGAAAAAAATAAATTTTAAGAATTTGATACACAAAAAGAATTTCTATCATTAATGTTTGTTTTACCATTAGTATTATTTTTATAATTTTTTTTTATATCTGTTAACTTTTTTACCTTTTTTTAAAAATATTTTAGGTGACCGGAAATTATTTTTATAATTTTTTTTTTCATACTTTTGTATCTCTATTTTTTCATTTGATAATTCTATCATTTTCTCTTCCAGCCCACCATGAAAGGACTATGTAAAAAAGAATGTTATAAAATATTCTCTGTTTAGCGAATGTAAAATTTTACACTACGTAAACTGCAAATGCAAAAGAATACTAATTCAAGATAAACTGAAGAAATAAAAGAATTACAACAAAGAGATTTATTTTCTTACTGAAAAATTTATTTTTCTAATCGCATTAAACTTGGCGTCCATGGTTCTTTACGCCTAAAACCTAAAAAAACAGTTCGTGGATTTTCCTGTTTCATTGGTAATTTTACTGATCATTGGTAATTTTCCTGTTTCAATGGTGATTTTTCAAAATTTTAATATTTCGGTGTCTACTGGATTCGAACTAACGTCAAGGCAAAAGCTTGTCAAAGACTCAAATTTTCAAATTCCTAGTATCTTAATAATTTAAAAGCGCAGACCTTAGATATGACATATATAGTCAGTTAAATATAACAGGTCAAAGTAAGAAGTATCAAAGATATAGAGATTAGAAATCAGAATTTGTTGGGAGTAACTGCAGCTACTGCACATCTGATAGAATAGTCTCTAAATAATAGAAATTATATTTTTTCAACTATACCTTTTCTTAACAATAATAGTTTCACGCATGAAAAATTATTAGAAAATACCAAATAAAACAAATGACTAATATTATTGGTAATACAGAAAGTTAGTAAAGGCTTTTTTACTCTCTTTTTCAAAGCACTAACAGAAGTTTAATTTAAAGATAAATTTAGTGTTATAGGATTTTTACATCTGTATGCAGTGTGTATATTTTTTAAGTGTCGAAACAAAATGTTTCGGTGAAATTAATTCAAGTTTATTGTCAACTAAAATTTAATTTAAATTCCCTCTGTGTATGTAGATGAATAGGGTAGATGATTATTTTACTCTAATTCAATTCAAATTCCAAGTTCAATTGTGAACCATTTGTTTCAATAAACTTTTAAACAAAGGGCCAAAAAAAATATTGAATAGTTTTTATCTATATTAAAGAAACTAATATTTTTCACTTTGGCTTTGCTTGATTTAGAACATATATTTGTTTGATAAAAATATCAGGGGTGCATATTTCTTGAAAAATCTTTACCCTTTTCAAAAATATTTTTTTTCTCAAAAGATTATAATTTGTTTGCGCGGAATGGTAAAAAAAATTTGTAGGGTTTTACTTGCTGAATTGTTGGGTATGAAGTGTCAAAGAGTTAGGCTTTTTTCAGTTTGTGCAAATTTGTGGATTGGAAATCTCGATATTTATTTTGAGGGCAAATTATTTTATTTAAGGTTATTTTCAAAGTATATGAAGAAGAGGCTTTTTTAAATCTAAGGTTAATTAATTTTTTTGTTGGGGGGCAAAACTTTTTAAATATGGAGTAATTATCTTAAAGTTGGGTGTATATTTATAAAACCAGTGAGGATAAATATAAATTAAATTTAGATGCAAATTATAAATATTTGGTGGCATTCTAAAAAAGGGGGAAAATTTAAGTCTGGTGGGGCAATTTGAATAAGAATGTGCAGTGAGTGGGGGCAAGAAAACTGTGTATTATACTCAAACAATAAAACAACTAACCTTACCATCGGATTAGTAAGTCAACACATCTGATTTGAAATAAAATCTAATATGATATGGGACGCTCTGTAGCATCATCGTTAGTGCAATTGATATTTCACCTTTTTATTAAAATAAGTACGACGACCTTTAAAAACGTTATTGGATACTCAATGCTGATTAGTTGAACAATTTTCTTTCTTGTCTCTAATTGGCTGAACAATATTTCTCTTGTATCTGATTGGTTAAGAGGAAAAGAGATATTCAAGAGTTAAATAACCGGTTAGAGAGCGAGAAACCTGGCCTAGACCACTGTGTATGACCGTGAGTGTCTGTATGTGTTTGTAAGACTGATTCGGCTTTTTTGACTCCGGTCCGGTTACAGACAGATTGTGATTAAATGTAGGTTAAAGTATATGTGATGTTTTAAAACTAAAAATAATTTATAAACCCCGCTTCTTTACTTACTCTTTTGAATTCTGTACCGACTGATTTGAATTTTTAAATTTGTTAATGCCTTTAAAGATGTGATGTCTAATCTCAACAGAATAAATATTATAATACGTATTTTGACGATTATAATTCATAAAGTAATAGTATGGAGTAATCATTTTAGTTTTGACCCCTCCTCCCACTCTTATTATCTCTTCATAATTTAAATAACTCAAATTTCGCCCCTTTATTTTTGAAGTCCTCAATCATAATCTTAGATATATATGTTGCTGATTTTTCTATAGAATGTGAAAGCCTCAAGTTTTCTCGTACATGTAGACTAATATGATTAAAATATTTTGCAGATTTTCTATGTTAAGTATCGCTTGTGGTCATCTTTTTTTGTTATAAACTTGACATATTGTGTTCAAATTAAATTTTTTTTCACAGCCTTTAAATCTTTCTGCATCAAACCTTGAAAGGGAAGAATATCGGTCATTTCCTTGTGTACTCTACTTGGACCCACCTCTTGCTCCTCCACCACCAATCATTTTTGTACATGGAACTCCTATGTTACGCATGTTCATAGTTGGACGTCTGACTGTAGCGCCTGAACCCCTAGCCGGTCCTAGCCGCAGCGCTCGGTTCCCTAGCCTGTCCTAGCCGCAGCACTTGGCCCAGTAATTGACTATACCTGTCCTAACCTATCTCTAAAATAATACAAAGCAAATATTGTCCATTTTGTTGAAAAATATTAGTCTTGGTCACATACAAAATTGATAGAGGGGGGGGGGTCCTAAAGGCTAAAAGCGTACAAAAGTACATACCCAAAATATCAGTCATTTCTCCGGTCGTTTGTTCAGCTGTCCGGTTTCAGGTCAAGGAGTTCTGTTGAATCTGTGAAGAGGGTGGGGAGAGAGGGGGGGGGGGGAGTTGAAGGAACTCAGGAGAACCAAGGGCGTGTTTCTAGCTTGCTTGAAAAAGTCCTTAGTTGAGTGGGTTGACTTTTATAGGGAAAACTCAGGCAAAGCCGGGTTCCCAAGCTCTTCGCTCATCTATATATAAATTTGGCTTGTTTGTCTATTCTGTTTGTTTGTTTGTATCCAATAAACGTCAAAACGACCGAACCGATCGGGCCCAAATTTTTTGTGGGACCTCACGGAGCCCCAGGGAAGGTTTATAAATGATCAAAATTTCAAATATTTGTCTCCATCAAAATTCGTTTTGAAAATTTTGAAAATCCACGAATTTTTTTGTGAAAATCCGCGAATTATTTTTGTTTTGTTTTACGATGTACACAAAGAGAACATGTTCACAATTAATTTAGAAGATCTACGGCTAGTATATATATAATTGGCTTAATTGAGAAAAACTTCTCTAAATATACCAAGGGCAACGCACTTGAGTCAGTATTTAGTAAATGTACTAATTTAAGATTGTAGTTGTAGATATATAAATATATTAAAATGCATTCCCAGTTCCGGATAAGTAACAGTAGTGACAGGGTGAATCTGGAGATAGGAGTTCCGCACATACAGAAACTATCCGCAGACAGACACTCAGAGGATATTAGGTACAGGGGGTTACAGTAAACAAGTGCTTAGGATCCATTTCATTTGATACTGATCCGAACCTGGATTAAGCCACCCTGTAATAAAATGGATCCGGATCCAGGCCATGAACATTTCTTTAAAGCAGTGCTTAGGATCCATTTAATTTTTATCCGGATCGAGGTCATTTCTGTAAGATTTACTGATTTTTTTAAACTTGATAAACCATTCAGAAATGAAGAAATTTTTATAATCTCTTTTTTTCAAAAGTTCAGAGTTGGGTTTTAGGAGTAAAAAAGTTTTTGGTTGATATTTTACCCCTTGGACTCGGATCCGTGGATCCGCATATTTTGGCGGATCCAGATCCACGAAGTCAAAGTCTTGCGGATCCAACGGATCCGGATCCTAAGCACTGCTTAAAAGATTTACTGTTTTTTAACAAATTAAGGGTTTCCTTTTTTTCTTAAGTTGAGATTTGTGTTTTGAGAGCAAAACATTTTTTTTTACAGCTTTTTGTTGAAATTTTGTCCCTTAGATTCTAATCTTTGGATCCGCATATTGTTGCGGATCCTGATCCGGAAACCCAGTGAAGACATTTTAATTTTCTAGTTTTTTTAACGATGAAATAGGGTAATAGAATGAATTTTTGGGGTTTAAATATCAACAATAGAGAAAAACTCTCTAGCAAGACAAAATAAAAGTTTTAAAAAAAAAATTTCCGAGTGTAAAAAAATCAACTTTTTGATAGTTTTGCGAAAGTGAATAAACTATGAAACACAGTATGTCGCAAGATTTTCTCTTAGAAATACTTTCTCTTGAAGACATTTTGGTCTTAGATGTTATGTATTTTCAGCGTAAAAATACTTGTTACTGTCTATCTTATTTGAAGAAAGGTGGTTTTATATATATTTTTAAAAGAAAATATGTGTATTGATTTAATGACTTTTGGCGTCAACATATTAAACCAATCATGAATCATCATATAGATTTAAAATTCGGTGATGGTGATGAACCAAACCTCTGCAGAGTTAAAAAGTAGATGTTACTGTTAGTTCCACATAGTATTGAAAATATATTTCCGTCTGGGTTGACCCTTGTCAGTTCTAACGATATAAGAACCATCAAAATCGATAATTAAAATGTTAACCACGAGAAAATCCGCAAACAAAATTGATTTATTTAAAAAAAATTTGGGCCGTCAAATGGACAAAAGGGAAATGAACTCAGATCATGATAAGGAAAAACAAAATATATGCAAATATTCACTTTTAAAGAATGTTGTATTCATATATGTTCTAAAATTCTTTTAAAACATTTATGTGATATAAATACGCAAATACAGAATTAGCAATTTTTATATATTAATTACAAATATATATTATCATTGCAATTACGTTATTAGTTACGTTTGTCTGATCGTCGTGCAAATAAGAATTTTTTGGATATTAATTACGGGATTATTTTTGTAAGTTCATTAGTTGATTAATAAGTTTTTTTAAAAAGAAACAAAAATTTAGTTTTACATATCTAAATACTTTAAAACTAAATGATGAAATAAAAAAATTAAAAGAGTTCTGTTCTACAACTTTAAAAAAACAATTTAAAAAAAGATAAATTATTGATTAATTGATTGATATCTAGGATATACTGCGAGTTGACCGTAGAAGCTCAGCGACTGCTGAGTCTCGAGGGATGCAGACAATTCATTACTTATCAATCCTTTTGTTTTTTTTCCAGTTAAAGGGACTGTAAGAGTAATTTCAATTGACCCTCCATGAAAAGAGGGTGATGCATGATTCACAACGGTACCCTTGAAACCTTTGACTATTAATCATTATCATGTGTAAACATATCGAAACCCGCTTGAATTCCTCTAAGAGTGACTTTACGCTTACAGTCCCTTTAAAGCCGTGCATTTTTTGTACGGTTATTGACAATTTTGAATTAGTTTTAGATTCAATAATTTGGACTTGGGTCAAATACATGTTTAAGTTCTAACAAGTCGTAGAAGATTACAAAATATTAAATAAAATTTACGATTTACAACTTGCAAGTAGTTAAACCAACAGTACATCGTGCCTAGTTCTGTTACATATCTCTTTAAGAATTGCGACCTAACTCAAAATAATTTTTCCACTGTTAAAGATTTTTTAAAGGCGGGGGGGGGGATTTTATGAAATTTTTATATTTTGAATTTTTGAACCGTGAATGCCTGCATTTAAACGTTTTTGTTTTGTTTTTAACATTTTTTTTGCACAGTTGTTGGAAAATTAAAATTGAGAAATTTTCTACTTTTGTGTGTTTGACTAGCTCACCTAAATGTTGCATTACGATTAGGAAGAGAAACTGAGTAATACAACAGAGACGATGCTGGTTGAACCCCATTATTTTAATATATCTTGCTCAAACCTTACAGATCAATTTATTGCACAGGCAGATAAAATAGCATTTTCCCCCTTATTTTTATTTAATGTTTATTTTTTTCTTCATCGCATCATTTAATTTTTTTTTATTACAGATTTTTTTGCTCAATTTTTTTTGTTTGGAAATCGATGGTTTTTGTTTTGAGTTTTGAAGCCATTTTTAAATTAACTAATGAAAGACAAAACTAATTAAATTCAGATTTTTTAAAATTGATTCAATGAGAAAACATCCAAAATATATTTCTTTTTGTTCTTCCTATTGGGGATCAGAATATTATTTTATTATCAAGCAATGCTATTTATTACATTATCAGGAGAAGAAGGAAAAAGTAAAACATGAGATTACTCAGAATAAAATGGCGAAACCAACCGCCGAACCCACCCCGCCGATGTCCAAGGTGGAGAGACGGAAAAGTCTTGACAAGAAGGGGATTAGGGAGAATACCTTCTCCAGAGGAATGGAGGAAAAGAGAAAAAGGCTGGAGAATACCGCCAAAAAACCGCCGGATGTACCGGACAGAGTACCGCCGATTAAATTGCCACAGCTTCCGACCACGCCAATACCCGTGTCGGAGTTACCACCAGACTCTGTAAGATCGCCGCCTAAAAAGTTGCCAGCGATGATGCCGGCGTTTTCCAGCCTTACACCCATTCCCTTAAAGGAAATATTCAGTTTTTATTTATATTTTGTTTTCATTAATACCGAATTAATGTTTTACTGTTTTTAATGTAAGTCATAAAAAATCCTATTTTTTAAATATAAACTGATAATTGATCAGGATCTGAACCCGATACCAAAAACCTCTGCTCTTCCAGCAACAACCTCAAGCTCCGACTCTATCTCTATCCAGGTTCCTATGATGGGCCCTGACGGAACCCAGATCATGCAAACTATCAATGTGCCAAAGAGCGTGCTCGCGAGTGCCTCTGACCGTCCGGTGCTCCTCACCGTCACTCCTAAGAACGGGATCAACAAGGGACAGAAACAGATTGTTGTTCTCACAAAGAACGCAGGAGGTATTGGGGCAGCAGTAAAGCCCCACACACAGTTGGGAGTTAATAATTCTGCATCCGGGGTAAACTCTCCCGGTAAAGTTGTTTTAAGTCAACGACAAGGTATGCCATCTAGTGCTTCCAGTACAAACTCTCCCAGTAAACCGGTTACAGATATAAACAGTTTATTGTCCCAGTTTAAACCGGTTCCAAGTAGTGAGCTGGTTCAACAAGGATACCAGAACCTTCCTTCCTCCTCCACCACCTCATCCCCCTCCTCATCTACCCCTGGAGTACACAACCTTGTCTCTAGTATCCTCCAGTCTACTCCGGTCAGAGCTGGTCAATCAAACCTAGCAGTTCCTCAGCTTGCCAACCTCACACCTATTCCCCAGTCGGCTGTGCGTCCTCAACAGAGAATTATCCATCAAATTGTTCGACCAGGCCAAGTTTTACCCAATGGACAGCAAGTTATCATGCAAAACGGGAAACCATGTCTGGTCTCGGCACCGGCCGCACTGCCGCAGGGAAAAATAGTGCTAACCCAGAAGGGTCAAATTATACAAGGCGCACAGGCGCAGGCTCTGGCGGGTAAAATCATTAATACCTCCCAGGGTCAGTTTATTATTGGGGCCAACGGTCAACTTTTATCCACGCAGAAATTAATTCAAAATCATTTGACGAACCAGACGGTAAAATATGTAACTGTATCTCAACCAATGAGAACGGTTGTATCTGGATCCGGTGTAGTCACCTACACATCCGGAGCCGGTTTTGTTAATGCTGTAGCTTCAAGTCCTCCTGTTAGTACATCCACTGTAGTATCAAGTACACCACAAAGAGTATCCATAGTCCTTCCACAAACCCCTGTTTCCGGCGCCAGCTCTCAAAGAGGCGCCACTCTGCAATTAGGCGCAAGTTCTCAAGTAGTATATACCCAGCCTGTAGGCGCTAGTCCACAGCAAGGTAGTAACCCTAGATTGGTATCCTGCTCCCCCGTAGGCGCTAGTCCGCAGGCAGGGGCTCCAGGACCATCAAGTCAGAGTAATAATCCAGCTTTCAACAGAATGATATTGAACGCTTTGAGTAATCGAGGACTGCTGAGTCAACAGAACGGAAAGTTTGTTTATGTTGGGGATAAAACTGGTTCTCCTGGAGCAAAACCGGTTATTTCAGGTAAAACATTATTCTTTTCTTCTTACGTCTCTCTTTCTGGGCTTAGAGAAATTATAAATGAAAATGAAGAGATTAGCTAAAAAAGAAGTGACTTTGTTGAGTAGAGATCAACTTGATTATTCTGTTTCGACCAATTAAAAAAATGGGTTCTAAAGTCTGGAAGGGACTGTTAGCGGTTATTTCAAGGGAGCACTATTTCAAATATATATATACTTAGCTTGTCTGTCTGTCTGTCCGTTTATATCCAATAAACGTTAAAATGGCTCAACTTTTAATAGTACCTCACGTGACCCCAGGGAATGTTTTGGATGATCGAATTTTCAAAAATTTGCTACTAACAAAATTAGATTTTTAAAAATTTTGAAAATCCACGAAATTTTTTTATGCAAAGAGAAAATGTTCTCAATTGAAATAGAAGATGGTCGCTGAGCGCTCTAAAATACTATGAAGACGTCTTTCGATTTTAATTTTTGATTTCTACCAAGTTTACAGCATCAATATACTTGATAAGTGGAGGGAAAAAATTAAAATTAATTCAAGTAGTTAATATTTTGTTAAAACCCATTTATTGTTCTTCTTTAATTTTTCTATTTTTTCACAAACGAAAACAAAATTGGAAAATAATTTTTAAGTAAAATAATAATTAATTTTTGTGTTCAGACTATCATAAAAGTTAAAAAAATAATACCCTCGAAATATTTCCAACTATTTTAGGAAGTTCTCCGGCTCAGTCGTCCGTATCTATTCCTCTGAGTTCTCTAGGCCAAGTTCAGCAACAAGGGAAGAGTATGGTTCAAGTGATAGTCTCCGCTCCGAACCTGGACAGTTTCACGGCGTCTCCAACCCTCCTCAAGATGGCGTCCTCGCTCATGGAGAACCCAACCATAGCGGAGTTGATCAACACTCCTTGTGAAACCGGGGGTGGAGATAATTCTTCCGGGTTGAACGGAGATATAAACCTGTACGGAGTGAAAAGTTTGAAACCTGCTGGAAGTGATATTAAATCTAAAGTGTTTTATTATCGGGACCCCCGGCTACCAGACTCATGGTATGTTGGAATAGAATCTAATAGTTCGGGACATACTGTGAGTTACTACACCGCCAGCGGGGAAAAACTAAGATCTTTGTCGGAAGTTGCGCATTTTCTCAAACACAAGTTGATGATTTTACCAAGCTGTCGAGGGATCATGCCACCCTGTCCTATACAGGAGATTCCTATGCTAGCAGAGCTTAGTCCTCAGAATAGACTACTTGTCCCTAATCTCGTCCTGCCCATGGTAAATGCAAGTAGTCCTGTAATTCGACAAATAGATTCAGAGATAATTACCACTCATGGGGTTAAACGACCAGCACCAATTCCAGTTGGCCAAGAAGAGAAGAAATCAAAAATAGTTTTCTTTTAAATAAAACTTTCCATTCTTAGAAAAGCTTTAACACAAAATTGGGAGAAATATTTGACCACTTTCATTTATTTCACAACACAAGGAAATACATATATTCTTCGAAATATAAACACTGTTGTGTAAAGTGTACACAATTTTATAGTTGTACTAGCATATATGTAAATCACTGCTTGTTAAACCATGCTATGCATCGATGCGTAAAACTGGTAAATTAAAAATTTGTACGCATATTCCAGAAGAATGGCGTCCCCATTGACGCAGACAGGAGTGGAGCAGATGCGTCAGGAGTTCTACGCGGATCCTAAAAATAGACTAGCGCAGAACATATGTTCTAGATCAGACCCTATTGAAGCTTGTCTAACCAGGAAGTAAGTGATATTTACTTGATTGATTGATTGATTGAGTTATAATTATGGATTAATTGGCTGATAAATTGGTTTACATGTTTGCACGTTTGTCTTACTTTCAGAAATTAGTTTTAGCAATTTTTATTCTTATAAAACTAACATTTTGAAATAACCCTATTTTTCCTGAAAGCTTAAGATGTTTCCAAAAAAGGTTGCAATTATTTTGATAAATTTATATTAATTGATTTATTAAATATCTAGATGTCTAGAGGAGCGGGTCCACGTATTTAACACTAAGGTTGAGGCGGAAGGCAAGCCTGTCACCAACCAGAAGAACTCCGGCAGATGCTGGATATTCGCCGCACTCAATGTCATGAGGTATTCGCCGCAACTTTCATACCATTATCACTAATCATCATATTCTATGGTTTTTGATGATTTTTTTGGTATTCGCCGCAACTTTCAGTCCATATCCGCCACTCATAATTTTTCACGGTTTTGCATCATTCATTTATTAGGAATTCGCCATAATTTTCGTCCCATATTTGCCACTCGTTATCATTTATGTTATTTGCTCATTTTTTTTTCATTGTTTTGTCCCATTTACTGGATGTTCCATATTCACAATTTATCATTAATATTTATCAACAATTTATTTTTGGAGGCATTTTTCAGCCCCCTCGCTTTTGTCAAATATTCAGTTCAGCATCTTATTTTTATTTGCTCAATTATTTGTTTTACGAATTTTCCCCCTATTCCCATATTCGCCTACGCATCATCGCCATTTTTAAGGCATTAATGACTTTTATTTGATACCTACAGGCAGCCGTTTGTCAAGCAGTTTAACTTGGACGATTTTGAGTTTAGTACAGCCCACCTTTTCTTCTGGGATAAGGTAAATATCATAAACAAATCTAATTATCTATCTATATAAAGTAGCAATCTCTGTTTTTAAGTCCGATCATAACTCATAAACCTCTTGACCGATTTGCCTCAAATTATAATTGATGAACAAGCTAAGAACCACGGGAATGTCCTTAGCTTGGGTTAAAAGTTTTAAGTTTAAGTCGAACTTTGTCAAAAAAAAACTTAGTTTCCAAGCAAAGCTGGGTTCCTGAGCTAGTCTATATATATATATATATAAATTATTCAATTTATTATTAAATCAAAAAAACAGATAAACATCCTCTTATATATATAAAGCAGCAATCTCTGTTTGTTTGTATGTACGATCATAACTCAGGAAACCCTTTAACCGATTTGCATCAAATTATGCTTTGGGAACTCGGAAGAACCATAGGAATGTTCTTAGCTGGGTGTAAAGATTCTAAGTTCAGTGGGTTTACTTTTTTAGGGTAAAGTTTCCTGATATAGCTGGGTTCCCAAGCTAGTATACTAATGAAGTGTTAACTGTCTACCTGTTTCCTCGTGTGTCCAATTATATCTCCTGAACCAATTTTCCTCAAATTTTGATTAGGGAACTTGGTAGAACCACGGGAATGTTGATTTTAAGTTTTTAAGGAAAACTTGGTTTCTCGGCAAAGCTGGAGACCCAAGCGAGTCCCGAAATATTATCAAAATTAGCAGAAAATTACATATATCTATTTTAGGTTAGGCCCGTCACAGGGAATTTCAAATTTCTGAATTTCTTAAGCAGGGGGGGTGATAGATAGGGATGGTAATTTTCTGAGGTTGTTAGAGCATTGAACTAACAATGAATTAGTATTTAAGAGACCGAACCATTTATTTATTTTTTAGTTGGAACGGATCAATTTCTTCCTGCACAATATCGTATTGACCGGAAGACGAGGGGAGGAGGTCACAGGGCGAACAGTAGCTTTCCTATTGGGTAATCCGACTAATGGTAAGTTTAAATTCACGACGCTTCACGATGCTGACAAACATTTTGCGACCTTTTTTCTTCAATGATCTTTATTTTATATTATTTCTTCGTCAGTCCTCCTTTACATGGAACTAGGACTTGGGTCATCTCATACAAATTGATAGCAATGGACATTATCTCCGTAAATAAATTTGTTTAATATATAACAATTAACATTGAGTAGACACTGAAGTTTAGCTTATTAGCTTCTGACGACTTGTAGTTTAGCTTATTAGCTCCAGGAGTACCTTAAGTTTAGATTATTAGCTCCAGGAGTAGCAGAGGTTTAGCTTATTAGCTCCCGGAGTAGCGGAGGTTTAGCTTATTAGCTCCAGGAGTAGCTGAGTAAAAAAGTATGGTTTAACTGTTTATTGTTTAAGATGGAGGACAGTGGGATATGCTTGTAAACCTAGTAAACACGTATGGTTAAATGTTTAATTGTTTATTGTTTAAGATGGAGGACAGTGGGATATGCTTGTAAACCTAGTAAACAAGTATGGTTAAATGTTTAATTGTTTATTGTTTAAGATGGAGGACAGTGGGATATGCTTGTAAACCTAGTAAACAAGTATGGTTTAATGCCGAAGAAATGTTTCCCTGAAACCTTCTCTTGTGAATCATCTTCAAGGATGAATAATATCCTCAAATCAAAATCTAGAGAGTACACTAGGTAATCCATCTTCCCTCTATCCATATCCCCCTTTTATTCTTTCCCCCTTTCCTTTATTGCTCTCATCCCTCTTTCCTTTATTCCTCTCCCCCTTTCTCCTATCCTTCCCCCCTTTGTTTTCCTTTATCCCTCTGCCCTTTCTCCTATTCCTCCCCCCTTTGTTTTCCTTTATCCTTTTCTCCTATCCCTCCCCCTTTGTTTTCCTTGGAAGTTTTCCTTCATAAACTTATGATTTTGAAGCGCCAGAGGGAAACTTTAAACTTTAAAAACATTAAAATCTTTCAAAATATTTTGAGAGAATATTTTATCTTAGCACTAATTTAACTGATTTTTTTTCAATTATTTTTGTAATTTAGAACACTTCGGACGAGTATGGCTGAGGGTAAAACCGATGAGGAACTTGAAACTATGATTAGGAAATCACCAATAAAACATTTTAAAGAAATAACAAATACATTATTTTGTCCCAACAATTAAAAATATAATAATTGGGGATGGAAAGGAAATTAAAAGTTGACTTTTCTTTTTTAACAAAACTATTACTTCTCTTCCTCCAATCAAATTCCTTCCCAAATTCAGGGAAAAACAACAACATAGCTTACTGGGGAGGATTTAAAAAAGAGATATTGATTTTTGATGAATATTTAATACTCCTGTTTATTTATTGGTTGGATTGTAGAGAAATGATGAAGGAAGTATACAGAATAGTGGGAATTTGTTTGGGAATTCCTCCACAAACCTTTACTTGGGAATACGTAGATAAAACCAAGCAAGTAAGGAGCATTTTGGGATATTTTCGAATATTTTGAGACTTTTCGGACAGCTCAAAAATCTTGTTCAAATTGAAAACTTAAGGTTTAATTTTGAACCGGCAGTGGTTAGTTCACCGACGTAGCTCAAATTAATTGAATTTTGTCCCCAAAATACATGAATTTGGATATTGCTGAATTTTAATAATTGTTTCCTGTTACTAGGTACAGAAACTAGGCCCAATATCCTCCGTGGATTTCTACAACAATCATGTCAAGCCTCTCTTCAATGTCGACGATAAAGTGAGATTTTGAAAATATTACAACTTTATAAAAGAAAAGTTTAGAGAAAAGAAATATCCCGAGATTTATTATCCGAGTCTGTAGTGTACTTTTCGTGCATTACATTTTTTGATAAGTTGCAATTTGGGAATATGCCTTTTGAAAAACACATAACATCTAAAACTCTCCAGGTTTGTTTGGTATCTGATCCGAGGCCCAGCAACCCATATGGCCGTAGCTATAGTGTGGACTGTCTCGGCAACATGGTGTACGGTGAACCAGTTGTGTACAATAATCAACCAATAGAAACATTGATCTCTTTAGCCAGGTACATTACGTAGTTCACAGTGAATATATTGAAACTATGGATGTCAGTTTACAGCATATGAACTAAAAATAAAGTACGTAGTACATGAATTGAAAACTACGTACGAGTAGGTCAAGTTTATTTTAAAGCGGATTTGCGTAGGTCGAAAGACATACCATCCGTCATCAATTTTAAATTATCTGTTAAGGTCGTCTTTACTGGTGGGAGAATCTGTTTGGTTTGGCTGTGAGGTTAATAAACGATATGTGGCAAAACAGGGTTACCTTGATACCCAGGTAACTTTGAACTATCTAGCATATTCAAAAAGGAATATCATAATTTTTTTTTCAGGGGATTAAATTTAGTTTAAAATAATTCCCCCCCCCCTCTCTCTTCAAAATGATTTTTTTTCCAACAGAAAAGTTTTTGGGGTATAAACAAGCTTGTCAGTTTATGTCCAATTTGTCATTTCCAATATTTTTTAAATCATTAAAATGTTATGTAATATGTATTGCCAACCTAAGATTATAAATAAAAAAGACATATATGTTGCTGTTGCTAGTTACAATCTGTAAATGACGTTCTTCTGATAACAATGATTTCTATTCAGGCACATGACTATGAGCTTGTTTTTGGTGTAGATGTACAACTCGGCTTGAGCAAGGAATGCCTTTTCATTGATGAGAAAAAATCAACATTTTTCCCCCTTAGTTCCACTTCCTCACCCTAACCTTTTCCCCTGGCCTCCCTCTTCCATCTTGGCCAATTTGAACTACTTTGGATCTCCTTCATTTTCCACTTTCAGTAGGTTCTTACGCCCTCTCTTCTAATCTCCTACAAGTGCCCCCCCCCCTCCTCCCTGCTGATTTTCCTGTCCCTCTTCTAACTCCCTCTTGAACCCCACTATCCCTCCTGAATCCTAAATCCCTACTTTCTCTCCTGATTCCTTCTCTGTCCCTCTCCTTCCTCCTAATCCTTATGTCCCTCTTCTTCTTCCTGATCCCCTCCCTCCGCGTTGTTCCCTCTTTTTCCATCTCTGATTTCCCTCCTAATCCTTATTCCCCTCTCCTACCTTCTTCCTGATCCCCTCACTCCGCCCTGTTCCCTCCCCACCCTCTCTCAATTCCTCTTGATCAATTTCCCTCATGACCGTCTAATATACAGAGACTCCTTGATGACCCACGCTATGGTTCTCACCGGCTGCCATATTGAGGAGGATGGAGAGGTTTCAAGGTAACGGCTCTACATACTGCGACAAGACTAATCCTAGAAACTGTATAAATTAGTGCACTAAAAAATGTTAGTTTCAATTGAAGTTCATAAAATATTAGCATTTTTGAAACAGTAGACAGGGAGGCTCAATTTGCATATTTCCCTGTAAACTGTTAACTCATATCGGTTTTGATAACAATTAACACTAGGATTTGGATTAGCATTACCGAATCAATTGAAGTGCCTTGAGGTCGTTTTCCCCACGTTAATTCCCAAATAAACAATTTATCAAATATCCTAGCCAGTAGCCTTACTCCATACTGATCGACCTATTAACACATGCTAGTCACAACGCCGGCCCTTCAGCGCATTCTAGTCGCCGCACGCGGCACTTCAAAGATTTAACCGTACGTCCATGTAAAATGACCTGCATTGTTGTTAATTTTGATAATTTAACTGGATGGCTGGTTATATATATATTGATAGATAGATGGATAGTTATATAGATAGTTACATAGATAGATATATACTTACGAAAGTGTTTTTAGAAGGTTGGTCGGGGGGTCCAAAACACATTTAAGAAGAAATAATAGTTTAATTTTGTCTAGATGGAGGGTAGAGAACTCCTGGGGAGATGAGAGAGGAGACAAGGGATACCTTCTCATGTCCTCCGACTGGTTCAAGGAGTTCGTCTTCGAAATCGTCGTTGATAAGAAACATGTTCCAGCAGAGGTAACACATTTTTAACAATCAGAGTTCAGAAATTAAAAGAATAAGCTCTTAGCCACATCGACTGAATTTTAGGGGGGGGGTACATTTTCTTTAAAAATCATTTACCCTAGTAACTAGCTTGGTATGTTTGTACTTTGTAAGGAGCGCAAACATTATTTTAGGGGAGAATAAACACAATTTTGGGTAATAAGTATCATAAAGGATGAAAAAAATGTATAGGCAGTAGCACAAATGGTTTCTTTTTAAAAGATTATAACAAATTTCAGAATGTTTTAATCTTTTTAATTAATTAATAGCTGACGTACCCAAACCATGTATATTGTATAACTTTAGAATTTATATATAGGTTCTTCAAGTTGAAAGTATGGAACCTATTGTCCTTCCGGCCTGGGACCCACTTGGCTCATTAGCTCACTAATATCAATCAATCACTTATATCCCTACCCTCCTCTCAAGGTTGTAGTATGGTACGCCTTAGGATATTTTGGTCCTTGACCGACCTCCTGACAACTGGAGGCCAGTGACCTTAAAACTTGCGGTTTTCGGATCTCTTCTTTTATCTTAAACCTTGACGCAAATAAACGCGAAAATGAAAACGTTTTTTCTTAATAATTAGTTTTTATTGTAATTTGTTTACTTTGCATTGATTTCTTGATTTAACGCCCTCAGATCCTCTACATCACTTTTTATTAAAATTCTGATTTATGGTTTAATCTTCGATTTTTTAGCTATGCAGCTATTTCATAGACACCAATCTCATTCTTAGTTTAAATATCTATTTTTACTATTATAAAAACTTGTAAAATTTACTTGTGCTGCTCTGCTTTTTTAGTCAATGTTCTAAACCTCTACAGGAAATGTTTACAAAAAAAATATCATTTTAATCCGTTATTTTAACCAGAACAAGAGTTGGAAACTTTTAAACTGAGGGAATGAGTTAATTCCATTCTCTTTGTTGAGTAGAGATCAACTTGATTATTCTGTTTCGACCAATTAAAAAAATGGGTTCTAAAGTCTGGAAGGGACTGTTAGCGGTTATTTCAAGTGAGCACTATTTCAATGCAGTATTTACAGAGGTATCCTTGAAACCAGTGTTTCGGATCCATATCATTTTGATTCGGATCCGGATCCGAGGTAACTTTTGATTCTGTGAATCGGATTTTCCCTATTAAAAATATGAGAAAAATTTTGCTGAAAANAATGAGATATGGGAATAAATCAGTTGAAATTACGCTTACAGTCCCTTAAACTAATAATCTCTCACTGTACAAATGAGAGATGGGAGTAAATCGGCAAGTGGGGAATAATGATCTTGTTCCGTTAATTTAAAAGTCTACAGCTTATTCAAAATACAGTTTTCAGTAATTTGAATTAGAAATGATATAAAACAGAATGATTTTAATACATTATTTTCTCTTTGTATTTCTTAATAAAAATCAATTGTTCTGACTTAAAATGGAGTACTATGAGTTTTTCCTTGTAAATGTTTGTTGTACCAACTAATGTTCCTATTCCGCCATATAAATATTTGTCTTCCATTCCATAGTGCAACTATAACGTACAATATACAATAGTTATCATTTTCTTTAAAGTATTTCCAAATAATAGAATTGGAGAAATTTGCAGCTAATTCCTGGTTTATTTCAATGCTAATGCAAACTATACGATTTTTCCTCCTTCTCATGCTTAAATTTGACTTGACCAATTTAGGAGTTTTACCTAAAAATTAATTTTTACAAATTTTTGTTGATATTTACGAATTCGTATTCTTTGCAGTTGTTTTTACTTTAATACATTCACTTTAATTTTCTCAAGCAAGTGTTTTATATGCAAATATTCTCAAGTTAATGTACTTGAAAACTTGGTACTTTCATTTATTTATGTCCTTATTTATTACACATTAGATGACAATCGATAAAAGTAAACACAATTTATGTAGTGAAAAAAATTTAGTACAATACTAATTTTCTTGTTATATAGTACAATTTATTGTAACCTCTTACATTACTAGACAAATTTGATAAAGCAGTTCTGTAAACTTTTTTGTTTAAATTGTTCAAACATAAAGTTTGAGCAGAGCGGAGAACTCGTGTTTCGTGGAAATTGAGATCAGTGATTAATCTTTCTTTAATCTGCAGATTAATTTAATTTTTATATGATATCCCGCATGGTAGCCGTACCCTGGAAGAATAATTGGAATGAAGTGATTAAGCACATAGTGGATATCGAGATCAAGGGATCGGGGTTATGAGTCTCGTGCACGAAAGTTCCCAGCTCTGACCACGTTCACAATTGTGCTGTTAACTATGCAAATTTAATTATTCTTTTCATTCAAATCTTTATTTTTTTCGATGATTAAAAAGCCGATCATCACTTTTCTTACAATGCTTGACAAATTTTTAATTTTTTTGTAATCACGTTTTTTTTGTAAATGATTTATTATATGTAATTTGTTTTGGCAAATGAAGTGTAGATAGTGAAGGGAAACATTTCGTTTTTAAACCTTGCTCAGAAGTTGAACGATTTCTATATCAAATGTCTGAAATGGACGGTAGAAGTAATTTCACGTGACTCTCTATCTCTAGAGTGGCATGTTCGATTGACAACTGTACCCTTAAATCTTTTATTTGAACAACAACGTAAAAGATATCACCGTTTTTCTACAAACTTGATTTAATTGGAATTACAGGGGATTTTTTTTTCAAATTATGCATACTTTTTGCGACCTTGTCTACACAGGCTTTATCAGCAATATTATTTAATAATTTCCCGTTTTTACTGATTACACATTGCTTGCGAAAAAAATGTCCACAAATGTTAGCCATCATTTATATTTTGCTAAATTTATACCAGACTTGCATAGATGTTTGCTAAATTAATATTTTGCTACTTTTGTATAGACAAAAAATGCACGGAAAGGTTCGGTGGATCAAATAAAATGACAATGCCAGGGATTGAAAGATGATTGATCACTGATCAATGATCAAGCATCACCTTTTTATAAGGAAATAGTACATTTTCACAAGGTAAGATGGATTTTTATTCTATGATACATGCTGTTAGATATTTAAAGATTACTTGACTGAGATGATACATAACTTCTCCCATCTAAGATTTTACTTGAATTTTTCTTGGTTGTGACATCGTCTAATTTATTATTCTGCATATCACAATGTTAGATGATGTGTTGAGTCCAGGAAGAGACTATGTCTATATACTTGTCTAGGATGTGACAATATCCATTCTATATATATATATATCTAGGATGTTACAACATCTATATATTTATCTAGGATGTGGCAATGTCTATATATATATCTAGGATGTGACAATGTCTATACATCTATATATAAATATATATATATCTAGGATGTGACAATATCTATATTTATCTACATTGTATGTGACAATGTCTATTTATACATTTAGCTTGTGTCTCTGTTGGTTTGTATCCAATAAACGACAAAACGGCTGAACCGATCAAGTCCAAATTTTGTGTGGGACCTCACGTGGCCCCAGGGAAGGTTTATGGCCAATCTGACTTTTAATATGTAATCTTAAAATATTTATATCTTAAATTATTTAATTTTGTAAAATTTTGAAAATGCGCGAAAAAATGTTATGAATTCCGAAAATAAAAATAAAAACAAATTTGATACTGTGCAAAGAGAAGATGCTCGCAGAAAAAGCCACAATTAAAAGTTATAAAAGAAGATGGGCGCGAAGCGTCCTAAAAGCCTAGCGTCTATATATTTATCTAGGATGTAACTATATCTGTATGTTTATCTAGGATGTGACAATGTCGTATATATTTATCTAGGATGTGGCTATATCTATATGTTTATCTAGGATGTGACAATGTCTACTTTAAATCAAGAATTCACCGGATCTCAACTATCGAGGAGATCACAATTTAGTTTTACCGAGGTATGAACTCTAAAGGAAGAGAGGTCTGTTTAAGGGACGTAGACAAAGGTTTTTGATTAAGAATCCTCATTTCCATTTAAACTATATTTTAAGGGAAAAGATGAAAATGATTTTTCAAGAAAGTACAAGGGTGGAACCATTTGGTACAAAAAGATAAAATATTTCTGGCAATTTAACTGAAACAAATCATTATTTTCTTTTTGGATCCTAAAATCATCCAGTGCTTAGCTTATAATTTTACAGGGTCTACCCAAATATTGTTCCATTGTCACTGCCATTTAGTTACTCTAACATTAACAGTAAAATAATGTTAAGGGTGGGACAAAGATGGACTCCTGCTCTGATGTTCAGAATAACGTGAACATTGAGAGGATGGAGACCCTGGAGAATGATATCAAGAAACCTGAGGTTGATCTTGATAACCTGGAAAAGATGGATGAAGACGGGATGAACACAATTGAAGAGAACGAACCCTCCGAAATAGGAATAGAGATAGCAGCTGATATATCAGAAAGTAACAAGGACCATTTCAAAAATGACGTTTCTAAACCCTCTCTCACTAAAGATCCAAAGAAAAATGTTATCGAAGAAAAAGAAATCAACGATAAGATAAATGAAAGCTCAGAAGATCAAGACTTCACTGACTCTCTGGAAAAGGCTGGATTTAAAACAACTTCATCTCAAACTTCCACAAAGGTAGACATTTTTTTATTGAACATTTTATTTCGCTGATTTTATCGCTTAGACATTCTCTAGTCACATTCTTTTTTAAAGTTTGTAAATGGGTTGTAAATGATAGAGGAAATGGCGGAATCAAAAAATATTTTTATGTAAAAATCTACGTTATTGATTAAAAAATATTTTTTTTAGATGGTTGATGCAATGTGTCAGACAATTCAATCATTATCCAGCTCATTGAAAACGCTAGGTAAGAATACTAAATCATAAAAAAAGCAAAAAAGACTAATATTTAATTGGAAGAAAAAACATAGAAAATCCAAGTTTATTATGTTAATTTAAAATCAATGAGTTAAATATGTAAATTTGATTACAAAACCAATTACATGTAGAAACTTTGAATACAAGAACTGAAAGAAATAGTGGGGGGGGGGGGGCTTGCAAATGATGTCTAAAAGGTTTCAAGTACAGAAACAAACTAAGAATGAAAGATGTATGTTAAGTGTATATTAGAAGAAGTTTTGTGTTCTTTAATTTTCTGTAATTTTTATGAGAAAATACATTTTAAATTTTTTTTTTATATCCAGGGACCGAATTAAAAGAATTTGAGCTAGGTCGCTAAACTATCTAATGCCGGTTGAGATCTTGAGTCACCGATTCATGAAGATTCAAGTTGGTTATTCAGGATTTGAACCGGTTGTAGGTAGTTCACCGACCTCTCCAATTCATTAATTCGGTCCCAGATTTAAGAAATACCAGAAATGGATGAACCGCCTAGACTTGGTTGAACCACAACTCTCGCACGCCGGTTCAATTAAGGCGAATTGGTTCATCTGTAAATTCGGTGTTAAACTACTGAATTATAGCTTCAGGTTTTGAATAGTTTAATATGTAAAGCTATTCAGTGTTATATTAATGTTGTAGATGCTGCTGTGCAAACTGTAGAATCTTACTACGAGGACGGATACAAAGAATGTTCCGTCCATAGAACCCGGAGAGAAGACGAGATTAAGGAAGAGCTGGAGGAGAAGGACGGAGAGAAAGAGGATAGAACTGAAGAATCGGATTCCAGGGTTACAGAGCTTCTAGAATATTCGGAGCAGGTATTAAATCTATATTTAACCGGGAAATGTTCTTTTGGCTTGCTCATAGAATTCAAACGTTCCTCCGTTTATAAAGTTGGATGTTCAATTCTCAACAATTCTCTTTACACCATTGTCTAATCATCTATATATATATATATAAAATATATAGTGTAAATGCCCGTGGGAAAAAAATAAAAGAGTTTGAAAAAAAAAATCGATTTTTTAAGCCTAAAGTCTCAGCCCATTCGGTTCAGCCGTTTGGCCGGCTATAGGCAACATATATAATATATATTTACGAATAGATTTAATATTTTTATGTTCAATAACCAACCAAAACGGTCCCATCCTTTAATAAAACGTTCTTCTACTAATTGGCTTATGATTGCTATGTAAAAACTTTTCATTGAAGAAAATGCGTTTAAAAATGTTTGGTAAAAGACATAACATTTTAGTCCTAAAAAGTGGAAATCTTTTCTTGATATTTATGTATTTAAGTGTTATCCAATTTTTAGAACAAAGTGAAAGACGAATTTCCCTGCAAGATTTGCAAGAAGTTGTTCTCAAGCATTTTCAGCATCAAAACTCACATTTATGTCGCGCACCGGAAGTACTTAAAACCGGCGCAAGCTGGCGCAGTTGTGAAGAAGACTGGAGCTGATTATAAGAAAGGATTCAAGTCGAAAACTGCGTATTTATCTCGGAAGAAGTTTACTTACAGAAAACAGAAACCATGGTGTAAATACTGCTGGGTCAGATTTCCAAACAGGGATCAACATAACATTTATTTTTATTTGATTTTAATCGACATTTCTAATCCCTATATCTTTGCAACCTTAATCCGTAATTCTTTGATATTTCAAACTTAAATTAAGTAGTTTGTTTCTTACATGAAGATTTAATATAGTTTCACAATATAAATATCACAAAGCCTTTCCAAGCAAATATGATGGAAAAAAAGTCTAGTGGGCCGGGTATTCAATCTATTTTTCTGTTAACAGCTTAGTGTCAATGGGGGGGGGGGGGTTCTGGACGAATAATTGATTTAACAGACTTCATAGTTTGAAATATTAAAGGTCTACGACATCGGGTTGCTAAGATTAAAAAAATGAGAGCTCGTTGCAAAAACTCATTTTTTAGGTCAAATAAAACTTTAGTTCCAAGGCTTTACTTTTGTAATGAAGAATTTCATTAACTGATCTAATTCAAATCTCAAAGCAATAGAAAAAATATATGATCAATACTGTTCTGTTAGTCTTAATAGATTTTAATTAACAGTCTCGTTAAAGATTGTGTCGTGTTGTCCTCTTTTTGTTGGTAATTAACATACAAAATATTTTCTCAGAATCATTCAATTATTTTTTAACCTTTCATCCACATGATTATTGTAGAACATATTGAAAACTTTAAAAGATTTTATTTTGTTAATGATGGCGATATTTAATTTTAGAGGATAATACTAATATTGGATTAATTTGTTTCATGATCACCCAATTCCCGTTTAAGGGCGAGTGGGCTAACTAATACAATCAGAGAAAGTGTATATTTTTAATTGATGTGTTGATTTGATCAGAGTTGAATATGAGGAGCATAGAAGGCAGTTGCACCAAGATAAGCTTGGTGTTAGAGAGCGAAGTGCTAGTGCTGCTAACAGTGAGATATCAGAGACATCTAGCGCTAAATCTAGAATGGATTTAAGGAAAGCGGCCATTAATATTTTGTAACACAGTCCTGAATATTATTTGAAGATACTTAAATGGTATGACAACCCCGACTTAAACCTCTATAAGCTTCTTTTCCTGTGAAAGTGTTTATAAATTATTTATGACATCGAACACCTTTATTTCTAGATATAACTCAACTTGCGAATGATAGATAAACGAATAAGTTAAGCCAGATGTTGCTAGAGCCTCAAAAATACATTTTTGATATTTACTTCAAGAATTAATACTAGACATTACCCAAACATGACCTTGTATCATTCAGCTAGGAATGTGCTAACGGGCGCGATGTCTAACTCCATTCGTGGTTTTAGGCTTGCCATAATAAATGAACCCCCTCTTCCTCCATTCAGCAAAAAAAAAACTAATAAATGCGGACTGTGGAGGTCTAACATCTGGGAAGAAAATTTCACTTTTTTTATACCTTAGCAAAGAATGGCCATATCTGGTATAGTTCTAGCAAATGTGAAGGGGATCTGATATCAGATATATCTCTTGGAGATCAGAACTCAGATACTTGTCTCTCAAACAGGACCAGCAGATCTAATACACCAGCAGTTGGCAATGTAAGGACCGGAGAAGGAGAAGCTAACAAAAAACTGAATACTTGCCACAAACTTTGGTTTTCTTATCCATACATCTTTTAAACCTGAATGTGCACATTTTTGATATTTCAACCTGTGAATATTTTATAAAAAATAATTCAAAGGTCTAAGACACCAGGTTGCAAAGATATAACGACTAAAAAATTTAATTTAGTTTGTGTTTAGTACCCATTTTCATTTAATTGTCTCTCTCTTGGTGATTTTCTCCTCTTTGTTAACTTGTAATTAGGTTTTTTGAATCCATGGGGGTTTTTGATGTGAATATTAGTTTATTGTTCTTGTTGTTTCTCGTGTGTTTCTTATGAAATTTGTTATTCATATTGTTTATCTTGGCTTCTTGTTGCTCTTGTCTTTCATGGTTTTTGTTCTTCTTGGTATTCGCGGTGTTCTTCTTGTTGCTGTTTCTCAAGGTTTCTTGTTGTTTTTGTCTTTCATGGTATTTCTCCTTTTTGGTATTCTCGGTGTTCTTGTTGTTTCTTCTGGTGTCTTGTTATTCTTGTTTCTCTTATGGTTGTTGTTTTTATTGGTATTCATGGTGTTCCTTTGGTTCCTGATTGTATAGTTTTTCTCTTGTGAGGTTTGATGCTTTTCTTGTTCTTGTTTCTCGCAGTGTATGTTGTTAATCTTGTTGGAAAATGATCATGTAGGTTAATCTCTGATAAAAATTGGAAACTGCTTTTTAGAAGTCCCGGGAAGGTGACGAAGAGGAGGAGGATGCAGAAGACGACGAGGATGAGGATAAAGAGGATGATAATGATATGGATATTATGGAAACAGATCTTACTGATCCAGAGGTAACTGAAGCTTAGCTTCTTAAAACATGGGTTTTTTCAAAGACTACTAGAACTTAGTGCGATAAGAACGTTGGTTACATTTAATGTTACGTTGTTAGACAGTTAGAGAACTAGATGAGAAGGTTGTGAAGTGGTTAAAAAACTTATCTAGGTTATGAAAGGGTAAATAATTTGTATATCTAGGTTGTGAAGGGGTTACTAAACTGTATATCTAGGTTGTGAAGGGGTAATTATACTGTATATCTAGGATGTGCATGAGTTACTATACTGTATATCTAGGTTATGAAGTGTATAAACTGTATATCTAGGTTATGAAGGGATTACTTTACTATATATCTAGGTTGTGAAGGGATTGATACGAGGACTAGATGTGAAGGTTGTGAAGGGATTACTATACTATATATCTAAGTTGTGAAGGGAATGATACGAGGACTAGATGTGAAGGTTGTGAAGGGGTTACTATACTGTATATCTAGGTTGTGAAGGGAATGATACGAGGACTAGATGTGAAGGTTGTGAAGGGATTACTATACTATATATCTAAGTTGTGAAGGGAATGATACGAGGACTAGATGTGAAGGTTGTGAAGGGGTTACTATACTGTATATCTAGGTTGTGAAGGGAATGATACGGGGACTAGATGTGAAGGTTGTGAAGGGATTACTATACTATATATCTAGGTTGTGAAGGGAATGATACGAGGACTAGATGTGAAGGTTTTGAAGGGATTACTATACTATATATCTAGGTTGTGAAGGGAATGATACGATGACTAGATGTGAAGGTTGTGAAGGGGTTACTATACTGTATATCTAGGTTGTGAAGGGAATGATACGAGGACTAGATGTGAAGGTTGTGAAGGTTGATGAAACCTTGAACATGGAATCTAGAGTCTCCTATCTACTCAACCCAACCACAGAAGAGGATGTATCCGCTCTACAAATAACAGGGATACAAACCAGAAGAACTTATTCAACAAAACTTAAACAGGAGGAATGGACAGTGTCCAACATGCATTCTAACCCTTATTCCGGGGGGGGGGGGGCTATAACTCAGCTATTATGTTTAGTATGGGCAGAGGAGCAGTGTCTCATCCTTTTTTCATGAAAAAAAAGAGTTGAAGAATTTTATTTTTATCTTTTTAACCATCTTGCTCCGTTCAAAATAGTCCCTATGGGCTTACTTCTGTTATGCACTTTTACTATTTTAGCCCCACTTCCACCGGTTAAATCCTGTTTTATTTTTAAACTTAAGATTATGGGTAATTTTAATACGGAGGAGTTACGGCTTCCGAAAGTGTTTTAAAGACTTCAAAAACATAATTTTTGTCGTTCTTTGAGGAAATTAACTATTCTGGAGACTTCTGGTTCTAGTTTCAATTGAATTAAACTCACTATATTATACATATTAACCCGTTAACTGGTTGAAGGGGATTACAAAGGAATTTTTTATTTTTATTTAAAATGAAAAAATACCTATTTTCTATCTGGTTATATCGTTACAGAGGAACTAGAACTTAGTAATTTTATGGTTAGCTTGCCTTGGTATGAAGCCAGATATCATCATTGTTTGATCTGTGAGAAGTTTTATACTCTTGGGACTTTCTCTAGCCATGTTCTAGACGCACATGGAATGTCTATGGTGTTGTATAGGTATGTTTTTATATCCCCCCCCACCTCTCCAAACAAAACATAAGACAATTTCAGTGTTTAGACATCATATGACAAGTTTTTTTTGAAGATTTTTTCATTTTCTAATTGATCCACCAAATCTTCGACAATTTTTGTTTATTTAACAAACAAACAATCAGAAAAATACTGAAACCAAATAATACATTATAGATAGTTAGCTCGTTTGTTATTAGTTTGCTTGTATCAAATAAGCTTTAAAACGGATAAACCATTTAGATCCAATGTTTTGCGGTAACTCGCATGACCCCTAAAAATTCGATTTAAAATTATTTTTTGTAAATGAAAACAGAGTTATCTACGATTTTTCTATTTCTTTTTAATGTACGAAGAAGAAATATTGCTCAATGCAGATTGTAACAGAAAGCTGAAAATATTAATAGAATGAAGCCTTGTTAACAAATTTTAATCTAAAGAAATGAAAAAATCTGTGATATGAGAAAATGTTGGAGATCTTATACAATTAATTTTTAGGGAGAAGTTTCCAAGTGATGATTTGTCAGTAAAACTTTGGAATTGTTCTTTATGTGAGAAAGAGTTAAAGTGGACTCAATCTAATATATCTAAACATTTGAAATCCATGCATCGTCTAAGTTTGCAGGTAAAATATACCCAAACAAATTGTTGTGGCCAAATGCGATTTTGTATCTGGTCAAGAGCTAAAATACTAGATTATGTAATTGAGTTTTTTATTCTTATCTCGTGGTTTCTTGAAATCCTTGACCAACATTTGACTGACAAATGTCTCTTTGTCACATCACATCATCAGTAAAATGCCTTTATCTCAAAACTTTCAGTAAAAAACACTAAACTCAGATTCCTTGCACGTTTTCATACATCTTTGAATCACACACACATGTAATGCCTTTTAATTTAATTTTTTTTAATTAAAAGAAAAATTTCTTCAAGTTTGAATTATATTTCAGGAGTACAGTTTAACCATTCTTGGCCCAGACGGTTTCAAAGTTAAGCAGGTCAGAATAATTGAGAAATACAGGTTTATTCACAAAGGATGAGACTTTCTTGAAAGCATCATACTGCCAGGCGACTATTAGTGTGCGGTCATTGACCTATACCTTGACATGTTGATTCACTTCACACTAGACTTTAGTCATAAATCAACTGTTACATTCATTTCCGTTCTTTGGCGGTTATTTTTGAAAGGGATTTGACCTTGATTTTCACAAAATGATGGTTGATCTTTGATTTCTTTATTATTTATTTTTTGATTACGTGAAAATCTTATCTAACAAAATAAAGGTCGAAATTTTTTTATTTCTTCAATATAGACTTATATGGGGGTAACCCTTCACCTATTTATTCAAGGTAAAATTAAAACTCACAATTAACAAGAATGTACGTTCGTCGTTCACTGTACAATCACAATTCAATTTTCAGGAAATAAAACCTTTCTTTAAAATGTTACAATTACTTTTTTTTAATTAAAAAAAAGTTTAAAACTGAATAAAAATAAATTATCTGTTGTCTTAGGTTCGGCTAGAACCTAGCTTGCCATGGTATGAGAGTAGGACGCACAGATGTCGGATCTGTAATCATGTTTTTATCTTCTCAGAACTTAAAAAACATCTCAGGAAAGAATCCATGTGAATTATTAGTTTTTCGGCCAATTGGATTTTGTAAATATTATAATTTACGTGTTTGCAGTGGTTCAAAGTTTAAACACTTTGTCTGAAAGTGTGAGAAGTCGTTATGTCAAGTGATTCCTCTGATGTCAGATATTTACAACGCTATCCCTATTTGCTTTGTCTGATTTAGAATAAACGATAATCCCATGTCTCTTGAAAAAAAAAATATTTTTAATTGTAGTTTCTCTTCAAAGTTCAAAAGAAGAAACTAGGAAAATGACGATTATTCCACCATACTGATCAATTAAAGGTTTTGGTGCTGTTGTGAATCGGGAATGCCCCTCTAAAAAAAAGAGCTAAAAAGACCCTTAAAAACTGTTTAATTGCTATACAAAAAAAAATCATAAACAGATCATTAATAATAATAATTAGATCGCTTACATCCATTAGATCCAATCCATATTCACCATAATCATTAAAGTTTACATTAACACTAAAAATATTTTTATATTCATGAAAAACTGTCGGGGTGGGAGTGAATTATACATTCCATGTCGAAACTGCATTTTAATCTGTTTAACTGGATCGTCTTTGCTTAGACTTAAGCACAACTGTTCTTTTTCCAACTACAAACTACTGTTCCCTCAATCCTCCCTCTCTGCTGAAGCATCCAGCGAGGATCCAGTCTGGAAGTGTATGATCTGCAGCGCTAAAACTGCTTGGACCAAGGAACCTATAATCCAGCATATAAGTAAGTTTAGTTTATATAATATAGAAGTGCTTAGGATGTACTCCATTCCTGGATCCTCGATTGTGTTTTGAGAGTTCAACATTGTTTTTATATTTTGCCCCTTGAATTTTGGTCCTTAGGACTGTTTTGGTTAAATAATAATTTTATTCATCGTATAGTATTTTTTTATCATAAAACTATTCCTCTATTCATTTATCTAGGGAAACATAACTTGAGTTTGGAGAGCTATGCTGCTGAACATGTTGAAGATGCGAAGCAAGATGAAGATGTTGATGACACCCAACCCCTTCCTCCTGTTGAATGTGTCCTCAACGTCAAGGATGAACCTGAAGAGGAGAAGTCAGATTTCAACTCTAGGATAGTTCGCCTGGAACCCCGGGATACTACCCCAATGAAGAAATCCATGCCCCGGGAGATGGTAAAGGTTGGATCGGATGAGAAGCTGTGGGTTCCATGGTTTGAATCTAAACTCCACAAATGCCTGATATGCGGAGAGGTAAGGACCTGTGGGCTCAGTTTCAAGAATCATATTTATGACAAGCATCAGTACATGTCCCGGAAACAATATGTTAAGCGGTTTCCTGGAGTTGACATTGAACCTGACGCATGGAACTGTCCGCTGTGTCACAACACTATCAAATGGACCAAGAAATGTATAGTTGACCATCTCAAAACAATCCATATGCTCACAAGGGAAGAGTTTGAATTAACATTTAATATACCCAGCAGGCACAAGGTTGATGCTCCAGAAGGAGGAGAATTTAACTTCAATGCCAGAACTGAGTTAGGGATCGCCAATAAGGAGGTTGCGGAAGCGCAAGAGGCTGAACATGCATTACAACAAGAGGCTGAATCAGCAAGTGTTGTCCAGTGCGGGATATGTGATGATATGGTGAAATCTCTTATGACCCATATTGAGGACTATCATAAGATGAGTAAGGAGGCTTATCTCAAGATCTGTGTTGGAGATGACAAAAAATTCTCCTCTAGTCCAGCCAAATCTAAACCTAAGTGGTCCTGTCAGATCTGTGAAGAGAAAGCAGAAAATACAGAGAAAAGTATCAAAGAACACCTTGAGATTCATGCCATTGACTTAAAAGATTATGAGAAAACCTTTGATATACCAAAAGGCAATGAGAATGAGTCCAAAGAGGTTGAGGATGATGATGAAATTGTTCTTCCTGACAGTGAAATAATGATGGAGGAAGTTGAAGATGAAGATGTAAATATTAAGAAAGAAGTTGATACTAATGGAGATGAGATAAATGAAGATAATGTTGTACTTCACAGAGGATCACCTGAAACTCCTTGGTTTGAGTCAATCAAGATGAAATGCAAGGAATGTGATGTATACTTCTGGTTGGGAGCATTTATGAAGCATATTATCCAGGCGCACAGACTTCCCATAAAGGTTTACAAAGTCAAGTATCCAGAAACTGTGATACCTAAGCGTCAATATATCTGTAGGATTTGTGGAGTTTCGATTTCACACTATGCCTCACCCATCAGTGGGCATCTGACAGGGAGACACAACATAACTATGACTGATTACTACAAAAAGTATGAGAAGCTGAAAGTAAAACCTCCCTCTCCTCTTCCTGAACCAGAAATTGTTATTCCGAGCAATACCTTCCCTGATGATTATCTGAGTTTGGATAGCACAAGTTCTAAGGCCCAGCGAATGGCAGAATATCACAAAACTGGAAAACTTCCCTGGTTTGAGTCTAAAATCACCATTTGTAGAATATGCAATGAAGAATGGCTCCTTGGCTCATTCCGTCGACATTTATATGATCGGCATGATAAAATCAGTAGAACCACATATTCTGAAATGTTTCCTGACTCAGATATCTCTATTCCGACCTGGAGATGTAAAATATGTGGTAATGGAATTAAATGGGTTCGAGACAATATATTCTACCATCTTCGGACCCACAACTTTACAATGGAAGGATATAGACAATTGTACATTGACGGAAGTGATGATAAGACAACTGCTCTCGGTAAACAAATGCCGAACCTTGTTCCCATCTCCAACTCTCTTGAAACGAAAGAAGAAAAACAGTTTCGTTGTAAACTTTGCAATGTTCTTGTGGCCCTTGAATCTACAGCCATCAGAAATCATCTGAAAACATTCCATAACATGAGTATTAATGAGTATCAACCTTTTAAGAATTCGCCCAATCCTACTGGATTTAGTCCTGCATTCCCTTTGGCGGATCCTAATAACAGTGCATACAATATTCCATTGTATAACAACCCCATGATACAAAAACCGCCTCCTTTATTAAAAAAGATACTACCTCGCCCTTCTGCCCCTCCTGCCCAGCCAGGGTTGCCATGGTACAACAAGTGTAAGTGGACCTGTATGCTTTGCAACAAAGCTTTCTCGTCCGGATTCTGGAGACATGTCTCAGAAAATCATTCCTACACCAAGGAAAACTATCTCCAGGAATTCGGTAAGAATGGTATTGACATAGTTCATTACTTTTGCAAGATCTGCAACAAAAAGATCCCCTGGTCCGGAGCTAGCATCAATGCGCACACCAAGGCTGACCATGCAATGTCCTTGAAGGAGTATGAGGGTTTGTACGGACCTAAATCTGATGAGCTTGTACCTGATCCCCAAGCTGAGCCTGATATACCAATCCTGCCAATTAATATGTTCCCACACCTGCCCTCGGGTAGCCAAATACACTACGTCCACTCTCCAAACAAATGGTTTAACGGTTGCGAGTACAAGTGTCAGGTTTGTGGACGAATCCTTCATTCCGTGGCGGGATTGTCAATGCATTTAAAGGACACTCACATGATGGATAAATTCTCATATTTCCGTCAGTTCGGCCGAGCAGGGATTAACATTAGAAAATACAAATGCAAGATATGTTTCAAGTCTTTCCCTTGGTCTGGGGTCAGCATATCCAAGCATGTGAAGCAGGCTCACAACATCTCATTGCAAAGGTATTCTAACATGTATGAAAACGGAAGCACCCAGGAATCCATCTACCAAGAGGAGTTGGCTAATGGTGTTCCAGGCATGGACCCTATACGAGAGAACCAGCCACCTCCCTCCCGAGACAAGGGACTCAAATGGTATAATAAATGCTCCTGGACTTGTCAAATCTGTGGAACCACAATTTCAACAAACTCCAGCGCATTCTACAAACATATAGCACAGGATCATGGTGTACCTATTGACGAGTATAAGGAGAAGCATGGTAATACAGGGTTTGTCTACGTAGATCATACTTGTAAGCTATGCAATAAAAAGGTTCCGTTCAACGGTCTAGCGATGTGCAAACATTTCAAACATACTCACAACATGCAGCTAGAGGAGTATCAAGCAAGGTAATCTAATTTATTATCTATAGATAATGGTTTTGGACATTAGGGTGAGCCGATTTTTCATTTTATCTCTTAGAGCTTAGGGTGTGTGCGGGATTTATACCCCTTAAGATTCTAAGAACTAAACAAAATAAAATAATACATTTTTTTCAATGACGAGCTAAGAGCTATATTAAGAAAAAAAATAGTCAAAAGTTTTCAAAAGATCCGCCTTAAAACACTGAATTCAGAAAAGTTGATTTCATTGATTTTTGTATTGTCCCATAAAAACTTTTTGCTGGCCATAAATCAAACAATTTTATAAATATAAAAAGGTGGACAGAATTGACAGCTTGAGATGCTTCTTTTTATGCCCATAATAGATTTATTTTGAAAAATATTTGTTTTGGTCCTACTAGTGTTTTTTATCTATTATTTCCTTAAAATAACTCTCAGTGGGGCTTTTTTTCAACGCTATTGTAATGCAAACTTTAACATTAGAAATTAAAAGCGATTTTCTTTGTCCAGATTAAAACAGAAAAAGTAGAATAAACTTCATTCAACTATCCTTTCCTTGAAACTTCTATAAATAAAATCCATAAATATTTTAAGGTTTATGATTGATGATGATGGCAGCTCAACAGGAGAATATTATGCCCCTACAGATGAACATTGGTACAACAAGGGAATATGGAAATGTCAGATATGTAAGAACAAGAACAAATCCCTTGGTTCCTACAAGAAGCATATTCAGAAGATGCACAATATGCACTATGAAGATTACTTTGATAAGTTTGGGAATGCCGGGATCCACGAGGTTGTGTTCCGGTGTAAGATGTGTGCCGCAACCATGTCTTGCAACGGAGTCACTATTGCCAGTCATCTCCTTAACAATCACAAGTTTACTCTAGCTGAGTATGAGAAGACCTACCTCAAGGATGGAGAGGATGAGGGCGAGGAGGGGATAGAGGTTCAGCCTCAAGACGGAGAACATTTTCTAGCTGGGATGAAAGCCACAAGTTCCGAGCCGGCACCCGTTTTGTCCAAGGAAGAGATGCTTCGAAAGGATAAACCATGGTATCAGAAATGTAAATATTTCTGTCAGATCTGTAACAACCCATACTTCAGCATTAGTGCGCTGAGAAACCATACCAAGGTAAAGCATAATATGGACAGAGATACATATGTCGGAATATACGGTCTTGATGCGGGCCGGGTGATTGAGGACTATAGTTGTAAGATATGCAATAGAACGCTGAAGTGTGAAGGAAGAAGCCTGAACGCCCATATGAGAAACTGCCACAAAATGGGGATAGTCGAGTACAGCAAGCGCTACGAGTCTCAGAGAAACACACAAGAAGATCCGAACTACTACAATGAGACTTATCAAATAGAACTTGAGAATGACGAAGGCCAGGAAGGGGAAGAGGACTACACTGTCGAGACCATCGGCGTGGAAGATAACGAAGATCCCCTGGCCAGCTTTGTGTCAACCGAGATCTTGGAAGATGACTATGCTGAGGATGATATGACAGCAGAAGAATCTCTTCATTTCAACTTCGAGGAAGAGGAGGAGGATGAGGAACAACCAACCTTTAATGAAGATATCGGGGTTGCAGAGATGAAACCGGATATTTCTAAAATACAGATCATTCCTGAGGCAATGGAGACTGAGGATGATTCTGCACCGCCTGAAGAGTCTATTGAAATAACCTCCATAACCGAGGAGAATGATGAGGATGAAATCGATATGAGTCAAGTCAACATGGGCGTAGTTGAGTTCAGTCCTGAAAACCCCTTGGCCTAAATCTGCCACCTTGCTTGATTTACAAATTGTAAAAATCAAATTATTTTGAAAACTTTGCCTTTTTTCAAGACTCATACAAAACACATGGTTTTGATTTTCTTAAATGTTTATCACAGCGGTCGCCCAAAAAGATATTTCGGATCAACAAATGTGATTTCCTCTCTTGACTTTTCCGTTTAAGACTGTGTTTCTTTAAGCATTTGTATCAGTCTGGCTTGAACTAAAAACTAAAGAAATTCTGAGTTGAAGCATTTTTCGAAGTGTCTTCTATACAATTAAATTCATTTATACTTAGAGTTTAGAGGAGAAGAAAGAAGCTCTCATTAACAACAAAGTTTTTGAATTTGCCTTCTAAAAATCATTTGGAACATGTTTCTCTCTGCATTTTTAAAATCTTTTACTTTGATTCAGTTATGCTTAGGGTCGATTTTAATACAAAAAGGTTCCGAGTCGTTCGATCTGATCAAATTTAACATCACTGTACTTTGTTGTACTTAAAATGGTATTTAGACATACATTCCTCCCTAAATATTTGCATCATTTTCAACAATTTCGACCTAATTCTTCTGTTTTTCTTAAAAGGCCTAATTCAAAATTAGCCATAAAACCAATTTTACTTGTTTATTTGTTGCAAACTATCTAGCTGATCTATCACTTGTGATGGGAATTTATAAATAAGAACGAAATAGTTGAATTAGATTTAGCTAGCTAAACTAATTTTTCTGTTAGATAGTTCAGCAATCTTATTGGTTGAAAACAAACTTATCTTCTTTGCCATCTTTCTTGACACCAAGCTCGTTAATATTACCATTGACACGCATTGATACTTTTTCAACGATATAATTGACATAAAGAAAATGAAAATGTATGATTTCAGGGTGTATATTTTCTTCAAAAATTATTCCCCCTCTTTTGAAAATCCCTTTTTTTACAATACGTTTGGTTCGTTATTAGCGGATTATCGATGAAATGGGAAATAAATAAAATTTTGGGGAAAATATTAAAAGGATGATGTCCAATTTTTCGATTCGATTCGATTCAAACATTCTTAAAAATATACATCCTTGTAAAATTCTTAAAATACTAAAGCTCTCTAGTGTTACAAGAGACATACTCGTTTACCTGTTAGTTGATATTTTTGACCGGAAACAGATAGTTTATGCATTTCCGGCTTTTGATTCGGGATGCATAAAACATTGTTGTTATTCGAACTAATGTATTTACAATACATTTAATGTCTGGGTATGTGGTTTCTAGATCTATTCCTCTTCCAAATTGGGATATAAAGATGTAATGATATTAAATGGAAACCCCGCCCTATATAAATGTGTTATTATACTTTTAACATGACTTATGCCCCTCCTGTATATTTGTACACTTTATGTGCAGTAACGTTTAGTCAATGTAATCTGAACAAATTAAAAAATGTCTTTAAATAATTTTTATTATTATCATGATTATTTTATTATCATATTATTCCATTGCATTTAAACATATATTTACATTAGTGTTGTATATTCACCTTGCAACTATTCGTTGGTAAGTTTGTGTAACGTTGAACCAATAAAAGTATTGTTAGCGTAGTACTCACATTTACTCTTTTTGAACAGCTTATCATTTTTTCACGAAAAAAAATGCAATTTTAAATTCCGACATTTGAGGGTTTAAAGAAACACCAGGTATCATAAAAAAGTTCAATATTTTTTTCATGATCTATTAAAACTCGCCAAAGTCCCCCCAGTCACCAGAGATAAAATGGCATGATTCGGGCATGTTTATATTTTTATCCGATATAATTAAAAATGAAGTTGAGAAGAATCAATTATTGCTACTTTGACGACGAAATGTAGATTTTTCTCTTTAAGTTGATTTAACATAAGGTTTTTTGTTCTAAAAAAATGTTTCGAGGTTAATTATTATGTTTCTTAAATCTTGCTTTTTCTTGGTATTGTTTCTTCTTGATACATTCTGAACTTGGTAAACTGAATTCAATTCTTGTATGCAGGTTTCTTGTTTTATCTCAAAACTGAAAAAAATAAATTATAATTTTACAAAAAAGAGCTTGAGGAATAAGCTCAAACGATATTCGGTAAGACTCGCTGTTTAAAACTCGTAAAAAAAACTCATTATTCAAGAACTACTGAAGGCTTGCAGAATTCAGATATCGGTAACAAAAAGGTATAAAGTCAAGTTCCTGTTATAAGGCTGTGTGTACCGTTTATACAGTTTCTCAAAACCTTCAGAAATCATCGCATACCATACTATTCAAATGAGGCCAATCGGTCCCTCAAAATGTTTTACTCAAAATTCCATTTTTTAAAACTATTTTTTTACATTTTAGTAATTCAAGATTATTATTATTATTAATTTGTTAAAATGTAAATTTTTTCGTTAATTTTTCTGAAGAAACAAGGATGGAAATTCTAAGTAATTGATTATGTCATCAGAGTTACTGTTGTTACGCGAGCCATGCTGCGTGAAGAAAGTCTGTTTGTCGCCCCTGCGTATTTCTGAGTTTCTCCTGAAGATCTGTACGGAATGTATTGTGAAAAAAACTAGTTTAGGAACTGTTTACAGTCCGACTGCGCAGACGCAAGATTTCTAGCGGAGTAGTAGTTATATTTATATTCAGTATATGTTTATTCGTTTTGCAAGTATTTTCCGTGTTCAGAATTCTGGGATCACCGTGGTAATTATTTTATATATATCTATGTTTATTGGTTGATTCTAGTATGATTGATGATTATGTATTCGTTTATTGGTTCCTAGCCACAGTTTTTTAATGCCTGAGTGGATTATTTGTTATATTTGTATGATTTTCACTCAAAGCTTTTTCTGTGGGTTTATTAAACTTGTTTAGATTGAAGGCTCAGAGAAATAAACGTTCGGAACCTTACTATCTTCCTTTTTATTATGAAGAGCGTTGAGAGAAGGGAGTCTTACGATCCAATCCTGAGAAATACCACACGGTACATATATTAGGTCTTTAGGGAACTCGCTAAGTAGCGAAACAACTGTTTAAATAAAAATGTAAGTTCCTGGAAACTAAAGGTTAAATGAGTGGGACATTAAGAGATAAGCTGAAGGGTTTTGTTCTGAGATTATGGATTGGTCAAACTGCTGAACATTCCAGAGATGATTTCAAGGATGCAAGGATGCAAAAATTCCGGAAGAAATTTCGCGTCGAAGCTTTTTTTTTGCAGTTTCTTACTTATACAAATATTGAAGAAATAGCTGATTAACACATTTTGATTTTTGATACCAAGTTTTCTCAACATTTTTTATTGTTCACAGCCTCAAAGTTTTAAGACAGGGTCGACTTTGAAGTGTCGCAACGCCTTGGGCTTTGATTTTACCGCTCTTTTAACTGAGACTAACTCACTTATGCTTTTCTGTAGCCCTTAAAGGGACTGTAAAGGAAAAATGAAAGGGGGTATAGGCTGAAAGCTAACCACTTTAGCTCTCGATCGCGACCCATGAAAGTTATATCTGATGTTCCTATCTCGAGAAACTGATTTACAACTTTGCCAAATTTATGCGAAAATTAATAAATATACAATTTTGTATAAAAGTAGTGGGTTTAAAAAGATCAAATTCAGCAATTATGCAACCAATCTGAGAACGCTAATTGTAACTTAGGTTTACTCCAATTCTAATTTTATATTTGTTATTTCTATTTTTTATAGATTTAATTCATAATATTATTTTTACGCACGTATTCTTGACCAGAAATTCCACCAATGGCAGTGCAGTAAAGTGGTCACGTGATACAGGCGGAGACACGTGACCAGTATACTGCTCTGCCATTGGTGTATAGTTCTGGTCACGTGATTTAAGTTAAAGATTTTCTAAATTTTACACTTTCGTATAATTTTAACACAGTTTTGTATCAATTTCTCGAGACAGGAACATCAGATAAAACTTTCATGGGTCGCGATCAAGAGCTAAAGTGATTAACTTTCAGTCTATACCCTCTTTCATTTTTCCTTTACAGTCCCTTTAACATGTACGTTATAGCACTATAAAGCACTTGTTGTTAGCTTTGGTTTTTGAGAGGTAATTGACAAAATTCTTATCAATTTTCACATGAGAGCTTGCAACCTTTAAATGACAGTTACCTGCGTTTTTACATTTATTGCTGGATTATCTTCAGAACTGAATCTTAACAAAAATTAAGGAATTAGAGAAATTACAAATCTCAACTGAGATTGTAACTTTTGTGTGGATTTTGTTTATCCTGAACACTTGACCTTGATATCCAATTTGGGTACTTAAGAGTTTGAGGATCACTGCTTGATCCCTAAACTAGAGTACATGGGACATCGAATAGATCTCGAGATTCAAAACACATATAATAAATTAAGTTTAGTTCTCAAAAAGTTGTGAAGAGATTTTCAAAACATGGATTCAAGAAATTTTTTGAATATTTTAGAAAAGTGCGATAACTCACGTAAGAGAATAATCTAAAATATTAAAAAAACATAGATATACATATATCTATGATAAAAGCATTCTCATTATTTAAGCCCCTTCGTAGACTTGAGGTAAGGGAAATCGATTTAGGTCTTTTTTCGAAGTCGGTCAACCGCCAACGAGAAGTCTATAAAGGCTATAGTAAACTTATTGAACATTTTGAAATAATAAAAATTCAGATAGTTTTTGGTAGTTTTTGTGTTGTAAATCATTCAATTTTTGTAATTAATTTCGGTGGGCGGTTGGCCTAATCCCTACGGTCTAGAAACAAGTTTGTTTTATACGAAAGTAGAACCTAACCATCAATACTTAGTGTTCTCTAACCTATTCCTGCAGCAGGATGAATCTATACAGGAGTCTGATTCAGCTAGTTCTACACCTGGAGCTGGAGCTGGACATGGAACCTGGCAACCAAAATATCTAAAAATGTTTATTTAAATGCCGAACCTAGATATTATTTGAAAATAGCTGGATTAGGTTGCAACACTCGCAGATTAAAGCGCTTTAAAGGGAATGTTTGCGAAAAATAAAAGGGGTGCATTTCCACGGACTCCACGCTCTCAGAAACGCAACAGGAGTAAAATTAGTAGCGATTAATCCGCCTATTTTAAGAATTCTGCCTAACCCCACTTTTTATTTTTCATGAACACTTTCTTAATAGATACTGTGTATGTATTTTCAAGTGACCCGCAATTTAAAAGAGTGGCATGTCTGACTCACAATGCTACACTTTAAACCTTTATCTGAGTAACAATTTGGGAAGATATCTTCGTTTTTCTATCTTTACAATTGTTAAATTCTGACAAGGTATCTGCAGCATGTATGTATTAAAGAGAAACTAACTTGTAGATGATTGATTTTTAGACACGTATATAAGATTTCCGTCAACTGTCCCTTTAACGTTAAATTTGATCCTTTTTTTAATTTCTTAAAGGGCATTAAATCTCTAAGTAGGAGAATAGAAGAGCAGAAAAAAAAACAGAACTTGAAAGATACAGGGTGTCCCAATAAACGCGGGAATTCAGTGACGAATTCAAGTAATTATTAAGAAATAGCATTGTAATACCTGATTTCAAAAGTAATAATATTGTTATGTCTGCTAGAGTTTATTTTATGAAAACGGTAAATGGCTGTAAAGATGTACCCTGTATAATCATAGGAGACAAAGAAAAAAATCGTGTTAATTCAAAATTCTTCAAAATAAATTACGATTCTGTTTTCTGAATTATTAAAAAATATTTCTGTTCAATTAAAATAAGCTAATGTCAGTGGTAGGTAGGGGGGGGGGGNATTCTTTGTCTTATTTTCAGAATTGATCCAATTATAGGAATGGAGCTGAGAAACCAGGAATAAAAAATGAATTCACCTCTAATTATTATTATTAAAATTGAATTATTAAAATGTTGCTGCTTTTTTGAACATCCGTAGAATTACGGAGATTCAAATTTTTTTTAATTAATCAAAACTATTTTGTCGTATCCGCCTAGGCTGTCTTGGTTTTAAACGCATTTCATGCCTCGATAGTATTATGTAAAGCAACCTACCCATCATCTACATACTCTAGTTGTATAGTTGTACTGTGAATGCCATACGAGTGGAATAGCTCCTTAATCTCCTAAATAACAAAAAGTGAATTTAGAAATTCAAAATTTTTTTAAAAACTTCTACCTTAGCCATGCTGTTGTAGTTGTCCAAGGCACTTGTTTCTGGTCCAGGCCGCGCCACTTCCAAGTGACAACTAGCGACCACGCGACTAGGAAATTAATAAGTTGATTAGGCCGCGCCACTTCCAAGTGACAGCTAGCGACCACGCGACCAGGAAATTAATAAGTTGATTAGGATGCGCCACTTCCAAGTGACAACAAGCGACAATGCGACTGGGTAATTTATAAGTTGATTAGGTAGCAAATAGATCCAGAATGCTATGAAAAGTCTCAAATGGTCTCAAATGAATCCTAAAAAATGTCTTTACAATACTGCACTCTGCCACGCTTAGCTCAATTACCTTGTCTAGCCAGTCTCTCCCTTTAAATTTGTTGCTTTATTATCAATATAGTTATAATGCTGAATGCTTTACTTTTCCTTTTACTATTGAATAATTATTTTTATTATTGTTAATATTAGTATTTTTTGTTCTATATACCTGTGTTCTGCGGAGTAATTCTTGTTCTATTTTATCCAGATCTATGTGGGCTGGGATAGAGTTCAATAAAACTAAAAAAAATATTTGAAATGTTTTTTGTTTTAAATAATCCAATTTGTTTTCTAAAATGATTTTAATCATTTCTCTGTTAGTTAAAGGAAAATACTTAGGCTTTAAGAAAGGGCCAGACATTCTCAATATATCAAGAAAGAAATACTATGACTTCTTAATATTCTATATTAGAATATAAGTGAGGACCAGGAATTCTATATATAAATATTAAGTTGTAATCTCTGTTTGTGTGTTTGTCCTATCTTAACTCAGGAACCCTTGGACCAATTTGCCTTAAATTTTGATTGGGGAACTCGGTTTTGAGATTCTAAGTTGAGAGGGTCGACTTTAATATAATAGCGAAAATTTAGTTAATATTACCTAGGGTAGAATCCCTAAATTAGTACCAGGAATCCTAATACTACCCAAGGTAGAATCACTAAGTTAGGACCAGGAATCTCTAATATTATCTAAGGTAGAATCCCTAAGCTAGGACTAGGAATCCTAATATTACTTAAGGTAGAATCCCTAAATTACAACCAAGAATCCCTAATATTATTTTAACTTTAATAATTTATTTTTGGATAAGGGTTGTGGGCACAAGCTCACGCATACAAATAAAACGAAATATCAATAAATCTATTTCCAGTTTGTTATCAAGGTCTTTCTATTATTTAGTTCTGCTCAAGATTAGTTAAAAGTCATACACCCCAACGTTTTGTGTTGTGCCATTGTCTTGAAAACTTGACTATGGGTAACCCTGTAAACCATAGTGAACACTTATTTTGCGCGGGCTGATCTTGCTTCCTTTTTTTTCCTTATGCATAACTATTTGGTTTGGTTAATAATATGATTTTTAATAATCGCATGAAGCGTTGATTTGCCAATGACTTGTAGAGAGCTGGATTTTCAAACATAATTGAGTTATGTTCTTTTGTCCTTTTTTCAGTCAGTCATGAAAAGTAAAAAGAAAGAAATAAGGAAAAAAGAATCCCTAATATTAACTAAGGTAGAATCCCTAAATTACAACCAAGAATCCCTAATATTCCTAAGGTAGAATGCCTAAATCAACAACCAAGAATCCCTAAAGAATCCCTCATATCACCCAAGGTAGAATCCCTAAGTAAGAACCAGGAATCTGTAATATTACCTAAGGCAGAATCCCTAAGTATATTTCCCTAAGGTAGAATCCCTAAATTACAACCAAGAATCCTAATATTACCTAAGGTAGAATCCCTTAGTAAAGGCCAGGAACTGATACAGATGAGAATGACAATAACAACAGAAAGAACTGGATCCAGATAGTCTCTGTAAAAACAATTCTGTAAAATAGAGAGAAAATAATTTTTTGTTTGTTACATAAAAGTTGTGAAGGAAGAAATCATGAACCTTAAAGAGTCGCGTTTGGTTCACAGGGGTTTCAGTCCTTAATAGGGGGTTGAGCTCTCCCCGGAAAATAATCAATAAATTTCTGTATACGCCCATTTAAAAAGTTTACACTGTGTTTATTATTCTTAGATTTCACGTACTTGTATTGCCAGTCGGTCAGCCAGATAACCAGCGCGCTGATGATAACTACAACGCTACCCAGGGCATCTGCCAGTATATGAAGGAACACACCAGCTAGGTTAAATACATCAATTCTCAGCTCAAAGTAGAAATTCATCTTTGTGAAATTTTGACCCTCATCTCCATTCAAAATGCATAAACTGTCGAGGTTGTCCCAATAACAAGACTTAGAGACTTCTCTCACTTCTCTTTGATATTGAATGACTAAAGAATGGCAAAAAGAGTTTTTATGCTAACAATATTCATTTTTAAGAATAATTCTAGCCTTGCTTTGGTTAATGGAAGGGTACAAAGCACAAACGACGATTTTAAATTGTCTCGACTGTAATTTTTTTGTTGAGTATTTTCTCCCTATATTCATTTGTTCTCCAGACATTTCTTTCTGTTTACTTTTTACATCTTCTCCTTTTTCAGTCTAGATATAAAAAAAAAATAAAAAAATAACTATTTATAACACTCTTCTTTTGGTTTGCAGTGTTAGAATATTTTTGGATAGAAATTTTCTATTTATCGAGAAGGTTCAAGCCTTTTTAGATTTAATGTTGTCCCGAGCTTTATCGAGGGACAAAATATAATCAAAAAAGACGAGAGCCTTCGAGAAATAGAGAAAATTTAAGTCCAAAATCTTTAAAGCGCGCCGTGCCAAAATAATAGCGCTATAAGTAATTTTACGAAACGATTGTGTACTTGTCATATTTCAATCGTTATTCCTAGTTCAAATAAGCTTTGAAACAAAGCAGAAGTCAAAATATCAAGTTGATTTCAGTTTTATTTTCATTTCAATTAAGCAAAAATCTTTTGGAAATATCCTAAAGTTTTTGAGAAAATCTGGGAACCAATCGAAACTTTATGGCAAACGTGCAATAATGTACAGCTAATTTAACTTTATAACACGATGGTTACTTTATAGCACGTTTATTATGAAATTCACGATGAAGTGAGGAAGAATGATAAAGTTTCATAAAAAATAAAATAATCTTTTTTTTTAAAGACTACTCAACATCTTAAGCAATTCAAAATTTTAAGACACTGACTTTTAATGTCTTTTAACATTTTCCAAACATCTGTCTTCAAAAGAAAATTTTGTATATTCAAAACAAAATCACCTTTCTGGTTTTGTTCTCTTCCATTGCTAATTTGTCGGCTGAGTGTAGGTGCGCATGCGCGTGGTCGTGGTCGTCTTCACCATGTGAGTGGCCAGCTGTTCCCTCGTGGGAGTGGCCATGATGTCCAAATATAAGAAGACCAACAAGGTTGATACCAAGCCCAACCCCACCAACTAATTTCTTCTCATTTATTATTTTCATTATTATTATTATTATTATGATTATTATTAGCAAAAAGATTATTATTTGACATTTTAAATTAAAAGAACTGTAGAAGATTTGTAATGAATTTTGCATTCATGCATTGAAAAAATGTTTAAAAGAAAATTAAATGCATCAAACTGTTAAATTGTAAAGAAAATATCCGATTTTTACTCTCTAGAACCATGCCATGCAAAAATTGTAAACTTTTCGTTTTACTTTGAATTAGGATTAATTTTCTATTTCTGATTGAATAATTCTCAATTAAAACTGATAAAATAACGTTCTTTAGTAAAAATCATATACAAAAATATTACAGTTTAGATATGGTTCTTGTATTTTCTTATTCTAATTTTTGTAATATTTTATGAATTAAAGAAAATGAGAAAAAAGTGTATTCCTATCAGAATAAGTTTCGGGTCCTTTAAAGGTTCAATCACCATAAACCTCTGTACGCCAATTAATTATTTTATTAAATACAAGCGGTCCTCCCTGTCAAAAACAAGTGCCCTAATTAAAAATATATAATTTTTAATAGTCTGGCCAGTAAGAAATATTTTCGATTGAGTATAAACATTATATTTTTGTTATGTTTCTTATAGTTTGTTTGTTGTTCATATCTAATAAACCTCAAAACGGCTAAACCGATAGAGTCCCTAATTTGTAATGGCAACTTGCATGATGTTAAGGTTTATGAGCCGTCAAAGTTGAATAATTTAGCTCTGAAAAAGATTTCTATTTAAAATACTGCAGTTGCGCCGTTTACACAAAGTTTCATATAATCTAATTTTTTCCTTTATTGCTTCCACTAGGATTGAAAAGCAAAGAGCAATTAGAAACACAGAATTCACGAGAGCTCCTACAACCTTAAATAGTTTGGCAGTTATTTCTAGTTAGCCTCCAATTTCATTTAAAATGTTGTTTCTTGCGGATTCATGCTGCAGAGATTATGATGGAAATCGTCAGAATTCCAAGAAGTCTTGAAAAAGAAACAAGGGGCCATCTTGAAAATAAGTTGACAGTTCCTTTAGAAAAAGAGCTGTTTTTTTCATGAAAATTTATATTCTCAATCTAATTTTTGCTGGAACATTTTTCTTCTAAAATTCACTTGGGAATACATTTCTGCAGAGATACTCAAACATAAAGATTGCACGATATAATTCAAATATGAAGATTGCACGATATAATTCAAATATGAAGATTGCACGATATAATTCAAACATGAAGATTGCACGATATAATTCAAACATGAAGATTGCACGATATAATTCAAATATGAAGATTGCACGATATAATTCAAATATGAAGATTGCACGATATAATTCAAATATGAAGATTGCACGATATAATTCAAATATGAAGATTGCACGATATAATTCAAATATGAAGATTGCAAGATACAATTCAAATATGAAGATTGCACGATATAATTCAAATATGAAGATTGGACGATATAATTCAAACATGAAGATTGCACGATATAATTCAAATATGAAGATTGCACGATATAATTCAAATATGAAGATTGCACGATATAATTCAAATATGAAGATTGCACGATATAATTCAAATATGAAGATTGCACGATATAATTCAAATATGAAGATTGCACGATATAATTCAAATTTTAAACTTTGTTTCTCAAAGAGATGAGAGATGAAAGGATTCTTGAAATATCTCTCATAGAAAAATTTCTCCAGGAATCTGTAATTTTACCTCTGCTCTGGCCCAGCCATATGTGTTCTTCTTCCACCGCTTGGGGCTCATCCTATACATAAAGATCTTAAAGGGATTTTAGACGTAATTTCAAGTTATCCTCCATCTAAACAAAGGGCAGTATATCCGATTCTCAAGATACCCTTTAAACCTTTCCTTGTCTTATCAAGGTTGAACGTGATATCATTACTTTTCTATTTGAAAATTGATTTTTTTGTGAGTTCGCTAACAAAGTGATTTGCGTTTTTATGGTGCAAAGATCATGAAGTAAACTGTCATAATTCAACAGGTTTTAAGATTGAAAAATGAGAATATTTTCTTCGATACTTCTTGGACAAAGGTACAGTGAAACCCTTAATAACGAATACATCGAAAGAATTCATCAAATGTCGTATTCTTCACTTTCTGATAATGGAATGTTGCAGATATTTAGTTTTTTTTATTAAATGATTATATGGAACTCTTTAAAACTGTTCCCGCATATTCATGGCTATATATTTATTTTCGCAAATACTGAAATTTACGAAATATAGTATAAAACTATTGAAAATTGTCAAGACGACATTTGATAAATTCTTCCTATGTATTCGTTATTAAGGGTTTCACTATAAAGGAATTGGTATAGTGAAAAGAACATTCCACTCCTAAGATGTGTAGTCTCACTAAACGTTATGTCGACAGAAAATAATCGTGGTTTTTATTCTAAAAATATTGTTTTTTATTTCTTTTCTTCTGACCTGACACTAACAAATGCTATTATGATTGCAATAACGTCGCTGAGCATATGAAAACTGTCTGCTACCAGTGCCATAGAGTTCGTGGTATTCCCAACTGCAAATCAAATAAGTATATATGGTAGAAAGGCGACCGCCTCACCCCACTCCCCTCCATTTCCTATAAAAAGGGAAGGGGGGGGGGGTTGCGCTCATCCATGATTCAGCAAAAAAGTGTTTAATTTAAAAATTTCCATGATTCTTTCTTTATTTTTAAGATTTAAGATTGCATAACTGGGAGGGGGGGGGGAGAGACGACCGCCCGGTGAAAACAGGATGATCCAAAGAATTTTTTATTCCATGATTTTATCATTTCACAGAAATAAGAATTTATTTACTTACCTACTAGCTCTACAACCATGAACGACCCGGTCAACCCAAGCATACTGACTAATTTCATCTGGTTCCCGCAGCCACTAAATATTTTGTAAAAATAAGTTGTCTTTTTTTTATTTTTTAAATAATAAGAAAATAAATTAAATAGATTGTTCGAGGTAAATATTAAATATGATAAACACTTTTTGAATTAGCAGATTTTAATTCTCGTATCGGACATTTTAAAGAGACTGTACGCGTGATTTGAAGTGACCCTCCATGTAAAATGACAATGCCAGATTTACAACAGTGCGTATTAAAGCTTTGTCTGATTAAAAATTAACTAGATATCAATTGTGTTTTGTCTCCAGTGACTTGCGTATTTTTATTGCAGGAAAATATGCAAGCATTTTTAGAATAAAACACTTTAAACCTAGAAAAATAACTTTATTTTCAACATTTTTAGTCATAAAGGTTTCAAGGGTGCACTTGTGAATCGGGCATTACCATCTTTAGCTGAAGGTTTACTTAAAATTACGCTCAAAAAATGTATTTGAAAGGGTAAAAATAAAAATAGTTCACATTTTACTTTACCTGGTGAAACATCCGCTCATTTTCCCCATTTTAGAAAATTCTTAGAAAACTTCTGGTTCAGACTTTTCAAGCTTTCATATTTATCTGGAAGTTGTTGGATCTTTCTTAGATGTTATAGATTTTAAAGGGACTGTTCGCGAAAAATGAAAGGGGGCATAGGCTTAATCATAATGCGATAAAAAAGCGCTTTTGATCGCTACTAATCTTCTATCTGTTGCGTCTTTTAGGAGAAAATTGTCAAAAACGACTTACACCGAAGAATGCAGCGTCCATACAAATTTGGAAAGATGCAACATTCAACTCGGATTGTAAACGAATCAATTTAATTCCAAACAAATCATTCAAATATTACAAACAGTAGTCATCGATTATTTTTCGACGCATTCGTAAATAGTAAATATTTCATAATCTTTTTGATTTTTTTTTTAATAATTTAAATTTTCGAACATTCCCGGAAAATACAAAAATGTCGTCTTTATTATCAAAAATCCTCGAAACAGGAATAAATTTTTCAAAAGTAACTCCCAGATCATGAAAAATACAAGATATTATGAAATCAACTATTTACGAATGCGTCGAAAAATAATCGATGACTATTGTTTGTAATATCTGAATGATTTGTTTGGAATTAAATTGATTTGTTTACGATCCGGGTTGAATGTTGCACCTTTCTGAATTTGTATGCTTACTACGTTCTTCGGTATTAGTCGTTTTTAACAATTTTCTCCTACATATAGAAGTAAGATTAGTAGCGATCAAAAGCACTTTTTTAAGCATTAAGCCTATACCCCCTTTCATTTTTCGCGAACAGTCCCTTTAAAGAATCTGAATACGTTAAATACAATCTAATTTTCTTATCCTTCATCCCCCGTCAACCTGGGACCAGGATTAATGAATGGGAAGAAAAAGTTGAGCCGCGTAAGTTGTTGAACCACTGCTCTGCCGCACAGCGGGTCAATGTGGTTTAACTTAATCACACTTTTCCTTAAATCTAGTTTCCATCTGGATTAAGTTCCTTTTTGTCAACTCAGAGATGTTCTATCTTTATCTCATTTGTAGAAACTTATTTTATTTTTATCCTAGGAGTTAAAAATGTTAGACTTTTATCTGAAACTTAATGTAGAAACTTAGAAGAGAAACTTATTTTTTATCTTTGAATAATACACTTTATTTTTTCATCTTTATAATTAAATGTTAGAAATTTTATACTTCGTATTAATTTTATTGTTATTATATATCTATTCGTACACATAAAATCGGTACAATGTACAATGTAAATGCAACACTTTAACATTCCTTTTCACCTTGCAGACATCCTATTAAAACTAACAATAATCTTGAAAAGTTACCTATGCTATGACTAGACTTGACTAAACAATTTAGAAAGTAACAACAAACCAACATATCATTTACATAATCAATTGTCACTGTGTTTTGTTCAGCATAAAATAAATAAAGACTGAAAGGGAGGTGGTCGCTTATTTCGTTTTCAAGAAGATATACGATACTAGCTTGAAGGGGCCGGCGTTGACCCTGGAATAAAAAATAAAATTTTTGAAAATGAAAAAAATTGATTTTTTTTCGTTTTAAAGAAAATATACGCTATAGTCACGTATAAATAATTTTATACTATTATACTAACTCATGAACCGAGCTCTCCCTGGAGTTTTCCTGTAATATATTCTGTGTTAATGCTTGCTGCAATCTATATTATCCATGTTAGTAATATATCTTAACTATCTGTATTTTGACCCTGTCCGGCTAGCCCGGTCAGTTCAGTTCACCTGTATATATAAAATAAATTAGTTCAATACGAATCGTTGATTAACACGGACGTATACAGAGCCTTGAGTTTTGGCTAGAGATTGAGAGCCTTGAGTTTTGGCTAGAGATAGAGTCAGTTAGATTCTAATTAGACTTTGAGTTGAGTTATCGTTGAGTTATCTCGGGGCTAGATTTCTTACATTCCTTATACAAGTTAATTCACTCAAATTAGAATTTTTAAACCCAACTAAGATTTCCCGAGTTCCCCAATCAAAATTTGAGGCAAATTGTCAAGGAATTCCAAAGTTACGACGAAAAATCAAAACAGATTTTTATAGATATTACACCATATTATATAGAAATCACTATCATTTAAACTTTTACCGAAATTAGCTTTAACATAGACAAAGGAATCGAGTCTTTGCCACAAACTCTACTTTTTTTTCAATCCCTATAATATTTGCAACCCACTTTTGTTGACCTAGAATTATATTATACTAGCTTGGGAACCCAGCGTTGCACAGGGTACTCATAGTTATTCCCGCGCGCGCCGTTTACTCGCACTAATACGATTTTTACCGGAAAACTTAATTTTCGCTATAAAAGTTGACCCATACTCAACTTCAAACTAAGAACATTCCCTTGGGTCTCTTGGGTTCACTAATTAAAATTTGAGGCAAATAGGTTTAGGGGTTCCTGAGTTATGATCGGACAACAAACAGACAGACAAACAGAGATTACAACTTTATATATAAAAGATGAAAGGTTTACACCATCATGTTTCAAATGTGGGTTTGTGGTAAAGATCCAATTCTTATTCTAGATAAAAGGTGTTCTTGTTGAATTATTTAGGGTTAAATCCTTTATTCTATACTGTTGATGGTATTGTATGCTAGTATAATTTAATTTGTATAAACTGATTCCTGGGGTTAGATCTAGATCATTGCATGTCACTGCTTAGAGTTAAACTGAGAAGTGTTTAACTAATTATTAAGCTCATCTAATCATTTATCAATCAATCGCAGGAATATAATTTTAATTTTTTTTAATATCATTTTTAGTTTTTTTTTGTAAAAACGATGGGAGTGCTTTGTACAAGTTTTTGTCAGAAAATTCATAGTTTGAGTGTTTAATGGAGAAAACAAATCCCCGGTCCTATCCTGTTAAAATTAGCTCCATGAATAATTCTGAGTAGTTGATGAACGAAGTAGAACTAGCAGCAAAACTATACGTAACTTCCAATAAGACGGGGGAAGGGGGGGGAGGTTACATAAAAAGGAAAACAATAGAAAAACATTTTGAATTTTAAAAGCCTGGGAGGAAGAGGGGGGGGGGTCGTAAATTAAAAAGTAACAATATTAATATCTATTACTAACTTAGGAACCCAGCTTTGACTGGAGATCTAAAAGAAAGTGACCCAAGCAAAGAACATTCCAATGTTTCTATCTCACTTGTCTCAGGCTGTAAGTACTGCTTTCTGAAATCTTAATACTTACTCTATTTGATAGAAATGAGAATTTATACGATTAAAACCAGAAAACTCTGGAAAAGGAAACTAAAGTTATAACTCTGAATAGTCCAATGAAAACGATACAAAGTAATTGATCAGTGTAAACAGAACAATTTAAATTATAAGAGATTAAAAGGTGGTATATAGTAAAGCTATTAGCTCATATCAAATAAACTTGGTTATTACTTTAAGGGTATCTTCCAATATTCTGTTTTCTAGTTCTCCCTGTTAGTTAGAAATATCTAAGGTCGACAATATCGGGTTGCAAAGATATAGGGATTAGAAAAATGATAATAACTAACTTTTAGCAATCCAGTCAGACGGGTCCAGATTACATAGTAACAGTTTTTCCACATTTGTATTATCTCCTACTTGAGGAAAATGTGACACATGAAAATACTTGAACTGTGTTTGTGCAATGTGCACACGTGCAATTTGCTTATGGTTCGATGTAAACTAGATATTCAAAATTTTATAATATTAGATAAATATTACTTCTTCAATTCTTATCTTGTATTTTATTTGAATAGATGGGACTCCAGCTGGGCAGTTTTAGGCACAATATTAGATAAGAGACAAAGTGAAAAGTACGTTTTTTTATTGAAAAATGTCGGCCTCTTTTCGGTTTATTCAAACTGATTTCCATGGTTCCCGGTAACTTGATTCTTTTTCAAATTATAAAAAAAAAACACAACGACTATTTTTAAAACGGAAGCCTAATCAGAAATGGATACGGGGATTTTTTCTTTCTATTAAACTACAATTTATTAAACTATTCGAAATCTTCAGATTTTTTCTCCAATTTTCCAAGGGAACATTGTTCCCCTTGGAAAAACATTAAAATAAAATCATTAAATTAAATGTTATTTTCAACTTAAAATTGGTTCACGATATGGAATGATACTTCTAAAGGAATTGAGTCTTTGCCACAAACTCTGCTTTTCTAAATCCTATATCTTTGGAATCCAATGTCGTAAATCTTTGATATTTCAAACTTATATTATTTGATCTAACACAATTCATAGTTTGAAATATCTAAGGTCTACGACATTGGAATCCAAAGATATAGGATTTAGAAAAGCAGAGTTTGTGGTAAAGACTCCATTCCTTTGTATAATCCTTTGTTGAAGGATAGCATCTAATGTTTAGGAAACGAGTGAAATTGCAAACCAAACATTGCCATCTGTTTTAATTGATAAAGTATACCTGAAAGATATTAAAGGTTTTGCTTTTTAACAATAAATTAATAAAAAAAAGTTTTGAGTGAGAGTTTATTATAAATTCTTTAAAACTTAGTGATCTTAATTTAAAAAGTTAAAACTAAGAACAAAGTCTGTTCATTGAAATATAATTGAACAATGTATCTAATTGTGTAGCGTTAAAAAAACTTAACTCAACAAAATAATGACTGAACACAAATATTATGATTTTCATTTAACTAATACTTCTCTACATTACTTTTATGTCTGAGTATTGTTGTTAATCGTTTTTTTTTGTTAACTTTTAATACAACTTTCAATTGATTTCATAACTGTACATTCTGTTAAATTTTACTTTAATATTTAAACTTTCCAATATTTTTATTTTAAAAAACGAGAAAAAAATACCGAGAAAAACAATCTTTATAAGACGTTCGTTTTTAGCTCGTTTTTTTATATATTCTCTTTCAGGGTCAAAATTTGGCACAAATAATATAATAAACAATTTGAAAGCATTTGCTTTTCTTTCCTTATGACCTTGAGAGAAAAAATAATCAAAATCTAACCATCTTGGAAAAATAGATTTTACTTGTAAACAAATGATTATTACCAAATTTATTAAAAATCCACCTAATGACTATTATTATACTCTTGCTAGACTTCTATTCTAAATATGCAAATAAGAAAGATAGTAAACTAAGTTGAAGGTAAAAAATATGTCTAGTCAATTCCAGATATGGGCCCTGGGGCAATAGGGCTGGTAACTTTATCATAAAAATATCCTACATATATTTAACTATTAACTAAAGAACTACAGTAAATCTATTTATTATCAAGTTGACCATTTCAGGAGTAAATACTAAGTAAGCGCAGTGGAACAAATTTAAACTTTTTACAATGAGGACAATTATCATGATTTCATTGATTATCGAGAGTATCCTCTTCCTTTAGCTTTAGGTTTCATCATCTCTCTCAAGATATTTGCCTGCTCGTCAGTTAGAGCATAGATATGCTTAACTTCTTCTATCTTGCTCACGGGTTTCATTGACTTCACCTCCTCCATCTTCTTCACCTCCTCCATTCTCTTAACCTCCTCCATCTTCTTCACCTCCTCCATCATCTTAACCTCTTCAATTCTCCTAATTTCCTCCATTGTTTTCACCTCCTCCATTCTTACAATCTCTTCCATCTTCTGTATTTCCAATTTACTGATAACTTCCTCCAGACTTCTGATCTCTCCAACCTTATCAAGAAGTTGTTTGTCCAAGACTTCTATCTTTTTGCTCAGCTCAGAAATCTTAGCTTTTGCGTCTTCGGTAGAAGCTGCGCCTGGTGCTGCTGGTGCCGCTGGGGCTGCGGGGGCTACGGGGGCTGCGGGGGCTACGGGGGCCACGGGGGCTGCTGCAGCTGGTGCGTAGCCTCTTGTCAAAGGTTCTGCTGCCGCTGGCTCCCCGATGTCTGCATAATCAGATGACTTGGTTTTAAGATATTTTTCAATAAATTCTTTGGCAATTGCATCAGGAACAAGTTCCTTGCTGATCACTTCTTGAACACTCTTGAGCTCTTGTACGCTGGACAATGGAGTTGCCACAACCTCTTGTGCAGTCACTTCTTGGGCAGTTACCTCTTGCGCACTCTTTAATTCATTCATCTTCAGAATCTCTTGGAGCTTGGTTATTGGTTTTTTACTGAGTACCTCATCCATTTTTGTCACCTCTTGCTTATTCACAACTTCTTCAATGCTGCTTACAGGTTGTTTGCTTAATACTTCCTCTTTTTTGATGACAGGTTCCTGATTTAAAACCTTCTCTTGAGATTTTATTGTTTGTCCAGGGAAAAGACTCTAATTGAACAAACTTATCAGAATGGCTTTAACGGAACTGTCCTTTAACGGAACTGTACACAGTAATTTCGAGTGATCCTTCAAATATAAAGTGGCATGTTGGACTAACAACGAAACCCTTTGTCTAATCAAGATTAAATTTTCTTTAAAAAGTTTTTTTTCATTGTCTAATGTGGGTTCTCTTCCGGATTTCTTTATACAGAAACAATTGAGGAAAATTTGAAAAAAAAAATACTTTTCAAGCTTGACAAACGACGCTATTTATCAGATAAAGATAAAGGTTATGCCGCTGTTGAAAACAGGGTTACTTGAATTTTAAATGACATTGCCTTAAAAAAAAAAATCACAATCAAAATTTAGAAGATTTACAGGACCAATTTTCCCTTTAACAATACAAAAATTGCATAGCTAATTTCTAAAACTTTATGCAAATTCGAATTGATCTTGCTCAGGTATTTTTTACAATAAACATTGAGCTTTTGCTATTATAATTGAAAAGCCAAGGAAGATAATAAGTCTAAAATTTTTGAATAAACCTATATTATCAATTACAGTTAGCATAAGCATCTTCTGTATTCTGAGGAGCGGGGGAAGGCAGGCGGCCATGAGCCACCACTATTTCCCCTTCCGTGCCACATATTAGCTTTTTTCTCTTCCGGCAGCCATGAGCCACCACTATTTCCCCTTCCGTACCACCACATTTGACTCTTCCGGGCAAAACTACTTTTTTAAATGGTATATTTGGGGCCTTTAAAGTGTGGTTTTAAAAAATTCAGCCGCATCACGCAAAAAAGCACAACTCAAACCATTTTTTAAATTCTACTTCATATATATTTTGGGTGTTGAATTCTTAAACTGTTTTACAATGAAATTTTTGACAAATTTGACAGAGTATTGCATCTTGGAAATATCACAAAATCTAATGATTATTCAATTACTGACTCATTATACTTAATCCATCTTAAAATCACTTATTAACCAAATTTATCCTTGAAACCTTTAGCTGATCAAATTTATCCTTGAAACCTTTAGCTGATCAAATTTATCCTTGAAACCTTTAGCTGATCAAATTAATCCTTGAAACCTTTAGCTGATCAAATTAATCCTTGAAACCTTTAGCTGATCAAATTTATCCTTGAAACCTTTAGCTGATCAAATTGTCGTTTTAAGAGGTTTGAAAGTATTTAATTCTTATAATTCCATTCCGTTTTTCTGCAGTAGAAATGCGCATTGTGCAAGTCACTTATGGAGAGAAACCACAATTGAAAATGAATTGTTTTTAAAATTATGTAAATATATATCTAGTTCATACTTGATCAGACAAAACTTTTGAAGGTACAATTGTGAATCGGGCATTGCCATCTTTGCAGGAAGGGTCACTTGAAATTACGCTTACAGAGGCCAAATTTAAAGAATTTGAACCGCGGCTTAAATTTGAGACGGGGCTCAAATAGGGTTGGTTCCACTTAAAATTCTATTCAAATTTCAAGATTTAAGCCGGCGCCCCATTGAAACCGGTTTTGGGCGGATTCAAGACGCGGCTCAAGTTCATTAAATTCGGACTCAGTCTCTTTAACTTGATATTTTAACCTGATGCAAACTTTCAGAAGAGATCTAATTTCATATTTTAATCTAAAAAAGTTGATAGAGCCCCTGCTCTAGAAGAATTCCTATTTCTAATTTTATTATAATCATTTATTAAGTAGAAAGATTTTAATCAAGCTTAGTCCAATCATCTCTGATTGAAACCATTTTGTTATCATTATTATTGCCATGAGGCATCTTGAAGTGACTTGAAAAAAGTGACTCTAAATGTAGAATTAGGGTGAAATTTTCGGGCATAAGATCTAACATTTGTAGAATTTGTTGGTAAACAGGAAATAAAATTAGATCTTTAAGTGTTGTTTCCTGAAGCTGTTGTGGATAAGCATTACACTGGAATATGCAGAAGGAAACTGGTTCCAATACATCCAGTCATAAAAATAAGTCGGAGAAATTTTAAAGGAATTGAGTCTTTGCCACAAACTCAAATTTTCTAATCCCTACATCTTTGCAACTTGGTTGTGTAGACCTTTGATATTTCAACTTAGATTATTTGATCTAACAGAATTCATAGTTTAAAATATCAGAAATCTTAACATTGGGCTGCAAAGATATTTTGTAGATTTTCTGTTTATAATTCGATTTATTTAAAGAAAAGACCACCCCAAAGAAGATTCAACTTTCTCCAAAAAATGAAAAAAAAACAAAAGTTCCTGCTTTTAATTTCTAATCATAAACAAGAATGTCATTATTTTTGACACTTTAAAATATAAATGAACTTGAAATGACGAAATGAATTCCTAAAGACAATGATGTAAGCGGAGAGATCATGTGTCCTCTCTCCTCTGATCCTTCTACAAATGATACCCTGCACCTCCCCATTCATTTTTATATGGGGGACAAACAATAGTCTTGAATGTTTTAAAAACTGATCATCAATATTCTGCAGATTAAATTGAGTTGATTCAACTAAAAAAACATTTATTTCACAATACTTTTTAAATTCACATACTTTTTTTTTGCCACATAGAAATCTGAGCTTTTTGTATTGTTTCGTAGATAATACAAATAGAACATTTTCATCTTGTCTTAAATACAATGATAATTCATATAACATACTTCTTTACATATTACTCATATTTCTTTTTTGGTGGCTTACGAGCAGCTGGGGGGGTTTCTAATTCTTTCTGTAGATTCATTGTTTACCAACTGGGGGGGTTTCTAATTCCTTTTGTAGATTCATTATTTACCAGCTGGGGGGTTTCTAATTCCGTCTGTAGATTCATTATTTACCAGCTGGGGCATTTCTAATTCTTTCTGTAGATTCATTATTTACCAGCTGGGGGGTAATCTAATTCCTTCTGTAGATTTATTATTTATCAGCTGGGGGTTTTCTAATTCCTTCTGTAGATTTATTATTTACCAGCTGGGGGGTTTCTAATTCTTTCTGTAGATTCATTGTTTACCAGCTGGGGGGTTTCTAATTCTTTCTGTAGATTCATTGTTTACCAGCTGGGGGGTTTCTAATTCCTTTTGTAGATTCATTATTTACCAGCTGGGGGGTTTCTAATTCCGTCTGTAGATTCATTATTTACCAGCTGGGGCATTTCTAATTCTTTCTGTAGATTCATTATTTACCAGCTGGGAGGTATTCTAATTCCTTCTGTAGATTAATTATTCACCAGTTTGGGGTTTTCTAATTCCTTCTGTAGATTTATTATTTAACAGCTGGGGGTTTTCTAATTCCTTCTGTAGATTCATTATTTACCAGCTGGAGGGTTTCTAATTCCTTCTGTAGATTCATTATTCACCAGCTGGAGGGTTTCTAATTCCTTCTGTAGATTCATTATTCACCAGCTGGGGGGTTTCTAATTCCTTCTGTAGATTCATTATTTACCAGCTGGGGGTTTTCTAATTCCTTCTGTAGATTTATTATTCACCAGCTGAAATGGACTGCTTTTCTTATATTTTCTTCTTCCTCGTGGCTCTTCCATCTTATTTTCAGATTCAGGTTTAGTTTCATCCAACTCTGAGTTAACCTTGAGTGCATCAACCTTCAGTAAAAGGACTGTAAGCGAAATTTTACGTGACCCTCCTTGCAAAGATGGCAGAGTCCGATTTAAAATGATACCCTTATAAGCTTTGTGTGATTAAGTAAGAATTATATATCCATGTTTTTATTTCTTTAAACTGTTTATCTTCATTCGGGATTTCTCTGCAAAAGTGACTTGCACATTTCTTGCTTAAGAGAAGAATGGGAGAAATTTTCAAAATTAAGCACTTTTCTATACAAAATTTAAGGTATATTCCCAATTTTTTAAGTGTACCATGTAAATCGGGGTTTGTCATCTTTGCATGGAGGGTCACTTGAAATTTGGCTTACAGTTCCTTTATAGCAGACTCCAGCACACAGGACCGTCTGTTAGATCTAGACAAGTAAATTAATAGATATTAATAATGTTAGCATCAATTGTTGATAAAATACCTTTTCTCGTTTGTATTTGTGTGGTGAGCTCTGTCCAATGATTGTTGTCTGGATCTGGCTCCATATCCAAGAAGAATATCATCATAACCTCGTAAAGCCCCTTAACAAATCCCAACTAAATATTATTTTGTCTGGATCTGGCTCCAAATCCAAGAAGAATATCATCATAACCTCGTAAAGCCCCTTAACAAATCCCAACTAAATATAATTTGTCTCAAACACAGAAAAAATATATTTTTAAAGAATAAAAAAAATTTTCGTTCTAAAATCTTTTTTATTTAAATTTAAATTGCTATTCAATAGAAAAAAATATTATTTTAAACATTTATTCGCTCTTAAATTTTTTACATTTAAATTCAAATTGTTTCATTTGTTTCTAAATTATATTAAATAATGTTGAATTTGGGAATTTGGTCTTCTGCGTAAAGATAAAATCTTGTAAATTCTGTACTTTGCAAAGAAAAAAAATAATTTTACAGTTTAATCTTTGAGTGCTTATTGTTTGATGGCAACCCTTACAAGGTTTTGGATACCCCTCCCCGTGGGGTATTTAAGGGGGTCAGTACTTGACTCTTAAAAAAAAAATTCTTAAGCGGCCGAGCCTTATTTGACTTTTATAAGAGAGAGTGGTATAAACTTAATATTGTTGACCACTCCCTGATACCCCACTGTCCCCCCCCCTTAAAAGCATTACATAAGAAAGATAAAAATTTCTTAGAATCAGCATCAGCTATATAAGTACGAAGAAAACTTATATAAAGTCAGCTCAGAACTATCATACTGGAAATCTCAGGATCAATTGCATTGATCTCAATATTACGTATATGTCTGATGTACGGATAAAACAAAGTCCTCTTCGATACCTTATGATGGTTAATCCCTGCAGGAATAACTTTATGTGAAGAATCAAGCATTGATCCTCAAATTTAAAAGTGACCACATTGAATATCAAAATCAAGCATTCATGATTAACAATATACACTCAAAAGTTGTGATCTGTGTTGCTTTTACCTAATTCCTCAACAGGGACAACAGAAGATTCCCTGGATTGTATTCTTGAAGCTCTCCTACTTCGGGCCTCTTCAGGATCAATGGTGTAGCCGGACCTAGACACAGATAAAAGATTTTTTACTCTTTCCCTTTAATATAAATATTTATATGTTATATATTGATGGTTGATGGTAAATCCTTGTTTAAAGCACAATTTCAATTGACCCCAGCTCCATGAAAAATCGCAATGCCCGATTCTGCAAAAGGTATCCTTTAAACCTTAATATGATCAATAATGTGGAAGATATTGTCCTTTCCCCAGGTTTAAAAGTGTTTAACTATGATAATTTCTGTTTTTCTGTAGTTGTAGAATAAGTCACTTATGTAGAGAACCCACATATGAAAATAATCTGATTTGATAATTATAAACATTAATATCTAATTCTTACTTAATCAGACAAAACCATTACAGTAAAAAGATGGTTATTTTTACCTAAAAACTGGCATTGCTCCGAATTCCACAGATCCTGAGGGTATAAAATCTTTAGTCCACTCCAGGGTTTGCTCTGCCAGCCTTTTTAATTCTGCTTCCTTTTGCCGCCTCTCCATTTCCTCAAGTATCTCCTCAATTTCCTTCATTTTTCTCTCGTCACTGGCTATTTTTTGTTTAATCAATTCAAGCTGCCTTTTTCTTTCGTTGATGGCAGCCATTAGTTCTGGATTTTGAATTAAGTAATCAGGAAAGGAAGGAATGGCTGATGAACCGATCAAACCATACTTGTTCATTTCAGTTTCAAATTCTTCATTCCAAGTAAAATCTTTCCATTCTTCCAACTGTTTAATGGTATCAAACAAAGAATCTTCTAATTTCATCATATTTGCATCTTGAGTCTTAAGTTTATCCAAGATTTCTTTCTTTTCATTCTCTTCAGTTGCTTTAGATTGGTGAATTCCTTTCTCCAGTGCTGATTTTCTAAACTTGAGTAGGTCAATGTCATTCTTCATCTGATCAACTTTATCTTTACTATTTTTCATGTCTTTGTTTCTATTCTCTTCATCTTCTAGGGCTTTTTCTCCTTCTTGGAGCCTTCTAAGATGTTTGTTTTCACATTTATCTGTGTCAGAGACTAAATCACTCAATTCTTCAGACCTGGTTTTTAAGCTATTTTCAAACCCCATTATATCTTCCAGCATGTCCTCCGGAATGCAAATTTCTATTGCATGTTTGAGTTTCATGATTTCATTCTTACTATTTTGCAAAGCTTGAAAAAGCATGGTTGTTTTGTCAGCTAGATTTTTCAGTTCTGCTTCATCATCAATTTCTTCTTCTTCAGGAATTGTGTAGAGCTTTCTTCGTCTTCGTCTTGTAACTTCAATCTTCTTCTGTTTATCAACAAGAATAAGAACTTCATCTTTCATTTTTTCCAATTCAAATGTGTCACCTTCCAGAATATTCAAAATTTCTTCTCTCTGCTTCGTCATATTTTTCTCTGCTTCTTGATCAAGCAGCTTTTGTAACTGATCCATTTTTATCTTCATTTTCTCCTTATTTGCTTCCTCTTCCAGTCTTTTCTTTCTTTCATCCTCTTCTTCCTTTGCTTGTAACAACTGTTTCTCCATGGCTTTAGCTTGCAACTTCTCAAGTTCTTTTCGTTTCTTGATTTCTTCTTCTTCAAGTAGTCTTTCAGTTTCTTTCTTCAATCTTTCCATTTCTTCAATCTGCTTAAGACGTTTTTCTTGTTCTTGTTTATTTTTTTGCTCATCTTCACGTTGGGCTTTCAGTTTCATCATTTCCATATAGCGTTCGTTCTGGTTAATCATGAATTCTTCAACTTCTGTTCCTAAACGTTTCACAACTTCCTTGGTCTCATTTATTTTGAATTCAAGAAGCTCGGCCTCACCTACAATATCTATATCTTCATCAAGTTCTAGGGCAAAGTTATCTGTTACTTTTTGAATTTCCTCTCTAGTTTTAAGAATATCATCTGTGGCAGTTTGTGTGTCTACTCGAATGGATTCCAGGATCATATCATCCGTGTCCATTTCATCCGTTTCATCTTTTGATATAAACTTTTGAATGTTTCTGTGCACTCCTTCTGCTTGTATGTACTGCTTGCGAACTTCTGTTAAATCTCTAAGAATTTTGTCCAACATTTCCATATCTTTTATGATCAGTTGTAATGCGCCATTTTTTTCAGCTTGTTCTTGTAGCTTTAACCGCCTCAGCTCGTCAATTTCTTGTTGTCTTTTTATCAGTTTGTTAGTTTTGTCTGTAAGACGTGTGATTTCGTCCAAAGCTCTTAGAAGCTTCTTTTCTAAATCAGATGCTCCCATGATCAAGGCTCTCAATTCCTCCTCTTCTCCATCTAAACAAGATTTTGAAGCAGAAGTTTGAAAATAAATTTTTATCTAAATTTACCCACCTAGTTCTATTCCGTTGAGCTGCCTTCTTCTCATCTCAACTGCCTTTTTCTGAAGTCTCGTAAGTTCTCGACGGTCTCCATCAAGGGCATCAAGTATTCTATATGCTCCTCGTTGCAGATCATAGCCTTCAGTCTCCTTCTTCATTTGCTTTTGAAAATCCTCTGACTCTGCTTGATGATTTATAAGTTTTTCTGCTTCATGCTGTACCTGACTTAGCAGCTGAACAATATTATCAAGTCTCTTGACCAACTCAACAACCTGGTCTTCACGTCTTAACTTATCCTCAGCCGACATTGATGACTTCTTTTTTCTCTGCTCATTTCCAGTTGCTTCACCACCATGCTCATCATCACTTTTCAATCTATCCCCAAGAGTAAGACCAGGACTCTTTTTTAGGAGAAGTCTGGGAGGCTCATTTTGATTTAGAGAATCTGGAGGAAGAAACCTGAAAGCATCTTCAGTAAGATTGTTCCTACTGGAGTGCATTGATCGTCCCCCTGATCCTCTCCATCCTACACCTAGACAATTCAAAATTTAATCACCTATTCTTAATTTTCTATCTAGATATCTTACATGTGTTACTGTCTAATGTCCATCTACATTCACTCCCAAAGCCCCTACTTTCTACTCCTAATTCCTAACTTCAGAGCTTAATGTACAGCTTACCTACAGAAAACCTTACTTTACTAACCAAAAATCATTTACAAAGATGATTGATCTTGATGCTGTCACTCAATTTTCATGGATATTGAGATAGTCTGTACCTACTCACAAATTCCAAACTACATTCGCCTATGGATCCACATACCTATACTTTCTCTTCCATGTATCCAAGTACTTACTGTCCTATCTACCTAATCCCATGTTCTATACCTGCTGATTACTCTAATTGATCCAAGTACTTACTCCCATGTCCTAGTAACCTAATCCTTTGTTCTATACCTGCTGATTACTCTAATTGATCCAAGTACTTACTCCCATGTCCTAGTAACCTAATCCTTTGTTCTATACCTGCTGATTACTCTAATTGATCCAAGTACTTACTCCCATGTCCTAGTAACCTAATCCTTTGTTCTATACCTGCTGATAACTCTAATTGATCCAAGTACTTACTCCCATGGAACCAAGTATTACTCCTATGTCATACCTACATACTCCCATGTTATACCTACATACTCCAATGGATCCAAGTATTACTCCTATGTCCTAACTATCTACTCCCATGGATCCAAGTATACTCCTATGTCCTACTTACCTACTCCCAAGTTCTACGTCCTACCTACCTTCTCCCAAGTCCTACCTACCTTCTTCTCCTACCTACCTACTCCCATATTGTCTCTGTCCTCTGAAAGGCAGCGTCTACTCCTTGCATCTCTTCTAGGTTCAGGATGCCGATATATTAAACTAAAAAATTTAGGCTTAAAAAAGGGTTCCTGAGCTGAAAACTCTTGTATTGTGGATATCCAGATCAATGCTTAAGATATCGAGATCAATGCTTCAGATATCGAGATCAATGCTTCAGATATCGAGATCAATGCTTCAGATATCGAGATCAATGCTTCAGATATCGAGATCAATGCTTAAAATATCGAGATTAACGCTTGAGCTCCTCTTTTTAATAATCTGCAGATAAATTTAATCTTAAATTGATATACGTGAAAGAGGCTGAAATTCAACCAATCAGAGTGTCGTTTGCAGAAAGTGAACAGCTGCAATTAGAAGCCGAATATCGAGATCAAGCAAAAAGGATTAAGGGTATCCAACACAAGAGTTTTGCGAGCTCTGAACAATCCAATGTGAGACCACCGAGGGGAGGAAGGCCAGCCACAACAATTTCTAGTCACATTTTCCTCATTTTCTCGTCCGAGCCACCTCTAAATCCTCGTCCTTCAAATATTATTTTTAAAAAGTGTCTAGTCCTCCAAGATAAAAATTGTTTAAAGAATCGGGCTTCGTTAGGGCGCAAATGAAATATTGAATTTTAGTAAATCAAAAAAATAGTTTCAATTGAATTACAGTTTTCGAGTTCTATGTCATTAAAAGTGTTCACCTTTTTTTACGCGCATTTTCAGATATTCCTGGTGTAGAATGCCGCAAATAATTCCGAGATTATAGAACTTCAATCTTTTTTTCTTAGTTATAGTGAACCATAGATTTTTCCGGGTGGTTCTGTTGGGATAATGATAGGCATAGATATGCCAAATATTTTGCTATTCATTTCATATCGCGAAGGTAGGCCATTACGGAGGCAGACGAGTTTTGAGTGTTACTTAAATAAAGTTTGACATCATTCTCATGTATCTAGGATTAAAACATGATTTAATCATTAGAATACTTTAGTTTATCCCTATTTTATGCCCTAACGTAGCCAGATTAGTTAAAAACTAGTTTTATCTTCAAGAATTAGAAACTTTTCAACAAATAATAAACGAAGGAGGAGGATTTCAAGGTGGTTCAGACGAGAAAATGAGGAGAATGTGGCTCAGACGAAAAGTTGTTGTGGCTGGCCTTTCTCCCCTCGACCACCAAATAAGATATTTTATAAATAGTTAAAAATGTTTTCTTCCATATGTATATTCATGAATTGTGCGATACCAAATGAGATAATATAACAGATTCAAAGTTTTTTTTTGATTTAAAAGCAAGTCCTAGTCTGTGTACACTACAAAATTTAAATTCCTTTATAAAAAGCTGGTTTTTTGGTATGCAACAATTTTCATATAATCCCGCGGGATATTTTCATTGAAAGATACTTTGAAAATCTACAAAGGCAAAAAAAAATCCGTAAAATCCACAAGCCCTCAGGTTTATCATTGAATCCCCTCTTTAAAAAGGAATGTGATTTACTCTCAGACAAAATAGAATCAATGGAAATTTAAATAAAAAAATGATACATGAATTTTAGAAATCAAAGAGTATTCCAGTGAACACAAAATAAAAGTCACCGCTTTCTTATTATTAGAAAAATTGTTAACAATTTTAACTGTTAAATTATGGTGTTCGAATTACAAATTAAAAACCTTTTGGTGAGAATTTTTTAATACAAGAAGTCAACTTGTATTTGAATATATATTCTTGTTATTACTGTTACAAAAACTTTTATTTGAATATATTCTTGTTATTACTGTTAACAAAACTAATCAAATCTTAAGAAGACAAGTCATAATTAGTGGGGCATGCTGTACTTAACTGTACTGTACATACTGTACTTAATTGTACTGTACATACTGTACTTAACTGTACTGTACATACTGTACTGTACATACTGTACTTAACTCTACTGTACATACTGTACTTAACTCTATTGTACATACTGTACTTAACTGTACTGTACATACTGTACTTAACTGTACTGTACATACTGTACTTAACTGTACTGTACATACTGTACGACGGTAAGTTTTTGAAATCTAACACCAGATTCCGCTAACAAATGGCAAAAACCCATGAAATCTGTAACCATCCATAAATAAAAAAGAACGGAAAATTATGAATAAAAAGATAGAATGTCTATGTTTTAAATAAACGGCTTCGTGAATTTTTCTGCTTAAAATTGCATCAAACTGATAGAAAATAGAAAGAAATGTTAGAGTTTTGATGTTTTTTTCCCGTGATTTGAGATTTTTGACGTTACATTCCGAATAGCTTAAAAAAACTTTGAACGTAGCCAGCCCTAGCTAACGCTGTAGATTATATCCAAGTAATTTGTTAAAAGTCTAAGATACAATTGCTCACCTAGGATCTATTCTAGTTTCCCGAGGGAGAGACGGGGATCTGATTCCTCGTGTTTGTTTGTTGGAATTCTGATACGAGTTCAGATAACTGGGAAAAAAGAATAAAAATAAAAATAACAATTGATCCATTTTCCATTTCATACTTTCTCTAAACTTACAGGATTGTCCAGTCCTAGAGTGCCGACTTCTACAGGAATTAATTCTGCGCCATGATTTTCTATATTTCCATATTATATTAAAAATACAACATTTGAACATCGACTTTTAGTTTTTTTTTATAAATTAAGATTCAAATTTATGAAGTTTACTGCAAAGCACGACATTTTGGTTAAAATTTATGTCTTGTTTTAAAAGAAAAGTAATTTGATTAAGAATATGATTTACATTAAAATTTTTTAATTTATTTTTTTCCTTGGGCAGAGAGATTCTTGGCTTCCGTAGAGTATTCCTCCCTTTCCTAGACTAGCAGACTGCTTTCTAGGAACCATCATGTGCCTTCAATATAAAATATTCTAGGAACCATCATATTCCTTCAATATAATATATTCTAGGAACCATCATGTGCCTTCATTATAATATATTCTAGGAACCATCAAGAGCCTTCAATATAATATATTCTAGGAACCATCATCTGCCTTCAATATAATATATTTTAGAAACCATCAAGTGCCTTCAATATAATATATTCTAGGAACCATTATATTCCTTCAATATAATATATTTTAGAAACCATCAAGTGCCTTCAATATAATAATATATTCTAGGAACCATCATATTCCTTCAATTTAATATATTTTAGAAACCATCATCAAATTTATTTTATACTAGGAGTGCCCGGCGTTGCCCGTGAAATAAAAAAAACGATTTTTGAAGATGAAAAAATACAATTTTTAGCTTATGTTACCCCTGGGGTACTCAAGGGTTCCCTAGAAAAATGCAGCCTATTCGGTTTAGTAGTTTGGCCAGCAATAACTGACATATTTATAAATAAATATATATATATCTGAGCGAAGGGCTTCATTATATAGTTATACAGTTTCTACGATTTTGTCCTTTAAATGTCGTCTTTTACCTGGTAGGACAGGGTGTTCTATATGTTGAACCGAAGGGACTGCTTCCACTAATATCAATACTCGACCTTCGGCTCATTACTAATCAATCTGAATGATGATAATTTCTATGGAAAAGTGATAAAACATCTAGTTATATTCTCGTGTTATATAATATTACACATTTTTTAATCAATTTGAACAAATCGTGTTTTTAACTTTACAAAATATCAATCTTTACGGGGCAGTATGCAATCAATAATGTGTTTTTGCAGTTCCTCACTCCAATTTACAATACATCGATCCTTACAACATCGCTCGTTTTCCCATAATTTTAAAATAGTTTTTGGTCGTTTTTTGGATATATCATCTGTCAGGGTCGAAATTCAACATAGTAAAAGAAATGCAAATATTTAGAAGAAAAAAATTTTAAAATTTTCTTTTCTCGGACTTTGCCAAAAGGGATTAATTTTTTTCCCACAAACTCTGATTTTCTAATTCCTATATCTTTGCAACCCAATGTCGTTGATCTTAGACATTTCAAACTATGACTTTTTTAGAGCAAATAATCTAAGTTTGAAATATTAAGCGTTTACACTATCAGGTTCCAAAGATATAGGATATAGAACATTTGAATTTGTGGTATAAAGACTCTATACAGATATACAGATCGGTATATGT